TCAAACTATACTGATAAGTTTTGCCGTATAGTATGGGTATCTTATGAATTATAGCTCTGAAATATGATCTTAATTTAATTTGGGCTCTTTAGTGATGAAATAAGTACCCTTGAACATTCATCTTGGTATTTTACTATTTTATGCAAGATATTTCTTGCATCACTTTAGGACCTAAATGACACAAAACGGTTCACCAAAATTCTTGGGCTGGCATTATAGCGACATACCATCCCAAAATGAAAATTGGTGAAAGGAAAAATACACACTTCTTTAAAACCAACAACTCTCATTTCATCTTTTCTATATGCACTTCGTAATGTAACTGGTCTTGCACATATCATATTTATTCTGTTGTCCCGTAGACTCATTTATCTCCACAATGTTGTTATTTCATAGCTTGCCTTGATGCTATCTATATCCTAGTTTGAATGATGTCAATTAGGGGTGGACTCGGGCCAGTTCGGGCCCGGGCCCGGCCGGGCCTCGGTTCATGAAAGGGGAGGCCCGGAACCGGCCCGGGTAACCCCCGGGTCCGGGTCGGGCCGGGCCGGCCTCGGTTCAATTTTTTTTTTGGCTTTTCCTAATTAACCCTCAACCCTCCCCCCTCACCCCCAAACCACCCCAAGCCACCTCAAATGGCCCAAAATACCCAGCCCAACCCAAAAACTTAAAAGAAATTCAAAAAAAAAAAAATAAATAAATAAATAAATTGGCCCGGACCGGCCGGGCCGGTTCACATTTTGAGGGGCCCGAGCCCGGACCGGAACCCCAGCGGTTCGGGCCGGTTCAAACAGTAACCCGTTCGGGCCGGTTCCGGGGCAGGCCGCTTGGCCCGAGTCCAGGCCTAATGCCAATGGTTGAATTAATGAATGCCTTGGATTTCAATGGCACTCGGGATTTGGTAGAATCACATGAGTGGGTATATTCCTATGGTGTTAGCTATTCTGGTACCCCTCCTTCCCAAAAAGATTGGCCAAATGATTTTTTTTTTTTGTCAATGGTAGTCAAGTTTAACCAATGACATTTTTATTACAAAATTATTTAAATTATGAAAATTATATGAGCATATTCTTTACTCTCCGTATTTAAAAAATCCTTTCACTTTCCTTTTTGGGTTGTATTTAAAAGTTTTATACACTTCCATTTTTGGTAAGTTTACCTTTTATAAAGGGAAAAGGGGCAAATAAGCCCTCGAACTAATCAAAAAAATGCAAATAAGCCCTTTTGTAGGAGGTTCTGGCTGATCATCGTCATTTGGGGAGGTTCTCGGTGGAATTTTTTGATGAATTTTTTTGAGCATCTTCTTCATCGAGTCTAGTTTAGCCATACCAAATTTCAACTAAAAATTAAACCGGGAAGGCACTCAAATGATTTTCGAAAATATACTGTGTTGTTTAACTGCGCAGTTATCTTCAAAAATTCATTTAACTGTCTTCCCGATTGAACTTTTAGCTGAAATTCGGTATGACTAAACTAGACTTAATGAATAAGATGCTCAAGAATTTTCATCAAGAAATTCCACCGGGAACCTCTCCAAATTACGATGGCCAGACGGAACCTCATAGAAAAGGGTTTATTTGCACTTTTTTTCTTAGTTCGAGGGCTTATTTGCCCCTTTTCCCTTTTATAAAATACACAACTGTCCTTACTTTATATAGTTTTTATCTCTTCTTTCAATTTTTACACTCTCTCCTACTTTTTCTACACTATTCATAATGTAGAAAATTAAAATACACAACTGTCCAACCTAATGTAGGGAACATTAAAATACGGAGGGAACATTAAAAAATCCTTCATAAAAGTATAAAATTAATAAATTTCACACAAATGTAATACCTAAAATCATTGTCTAACATCATTGACATGTAAAGTCAAATTGGTCAATTTTTTTTTTGTCGGAAAAACTACTTTTTTCTAGTTTCAAAATGGGAAAACTGTCAAATAAGTCCTCATACTATAATCAAAACGTCAATTAAGTCCTCGTACTATCAAAATACTCAATCAAACCCTCCAACTATTAAAAAACATCCAATCTAGCTTTTTAGCAAGTCAACTACCGGTTACTCCCGGTATCCGCTGACATGGCTGTCAACATATTTCTACATCTTCTAATTTTAGACATATCAGCAACCCACGTGTTAATTCTTTGTTGCTAGTTTGGGAAGCACATGACTCAGCCATCTCCCGTCGTCTCTTCCGTCTCTAAAGCTTAGATCGCACCGACCGCCAACTGCTAACAATTAATCATTCAGACAAGCTCAAACTCCACCGGCTGCAGCTCAAAATAGATCAGTCATAGAGCGCCATTGAATCTTCTAGCTTCCATTTCTATCTTTGCAACCTCCTCTCTCATTCTGAACTCAAATTCAAGAAATCAACGGTACATTCTTCATCTTTCTCCTTTCTCAAACCCACTCGTTCATTAAATCCCTCTGCATTCTTAATTCTCAGAGATTTTTCAAGCCCAGGAAGAGAAACACCAAAGTCGTTACTACATCGCGTCGGATATGTTTTCTGAAATACCATTCTTCTTCAGTCTCACCAACGCCGGTGAAAAACGTTTGCTTTTGGTACGTGTTACCTAAATCAAAGAAGGAAGATGAAGAGTGAGAATGAGAAGAGGTATCATCCGTAAGAAATTTACTAATAATTTGGAGAACAGGGGTGGGGTTGCTTTTGGATCTGAAAACGAGTTGAGGGAAGAGGACGGGAGAAATCAGAAGCGGATGGGAAGATTTGAACTAAGATGAAGTTTTCAACTTCGTGGCAACTCCCTCAAGATGTAAACCAGATGTATCTTTACAGAAAATCGTCAAGGCGGAGTTCGGCGGTGGGAATTCCGGCATGCTTCTCCAGTTCTTCTTCGCCCTTAATGTCTCCCTTAATGTGGCAACGGCGACTGGGATTGAGGCAACATCGGTCTTTCTTCTTGCTCAATCTCCTCATTACTGCTACAGGTCGTCATCTTCGCAGATGCTAAAACGGTGAGCTCGACGTATGAAACAATGGTGGGAGAAGAACAAAGAAACCCAGGAAGAAAGCTGCAGGAAGAGAAAAGAAAAAAGAAAAAAGGAAAAAGTAAAGACAATAGAATTAAAAACGGGAAAAGGTGCAAATAGGTCCATGTACTAACAAAAAAAGGTCAAATAAGCCCTTATTTAGAAGGCTCTGTCCGGTCGTCGCCATTTGGGGTGGTTCCCGGTGAATTTTTTTGATGAAATTTTTGGAGCATCTTATTCATCAAGTCTAGTTTACTCATACCAAATTTCAGCTAAAACTTCAATCGGGAAGGCATTCAAATGAATTCTTGAAAATAACTGCACAGTTAGAAGCGCAGTTATCTTCAAGAATTCATTTGAATGCTTTCCCGATTGAAGTTTTAGCTGAAATTTGGTATGAGTAAACTAGACTTGATGAATAAGATGCTCAAAAAATTTCATCAAAAAAATCCACCGGGAACCACCCCAAATGACGACGGCCGGACAGATACTTCTAAATAAGGGCTTATTTGACCTTTTTTGGTTAGTACATGGGCCTATTTGCACCTTTTCCCAATTAAAAACACATAGGCAGTCCATGTCGGCATTCAACTGGAAAACCGGGCGCTTACAGTCAAAAGAACTCAATTGAGTGTTTATTTAAAGTTTAAGGGTTCAATTGATTGATTTTGAAGTATAAGGACCTAATTGACTTTTTTGAAATAGTAGGAGGACTAATTTGACAGTTTTCCCTTTCAAAATTGATTTTGCCCAATTTCACATCTGGAATCACTACATGTCAGCTATGATTGACGCGTACATAAGTAGGATATCAAAAATGCCTTTTCCCAAGGTGATCTTTCAAGAAATGGAAGTGTACATGGAGCAGTCGGATCAGGAGCTTCTGTCTTGCTTTAGAGCAAGACACAATGACTAACTTTTGGGAACCATCCGTTCAAAATTGCATCGGCCAGAAATCTTGAAGTCCACATCTCAAGATACCATTTTTCCATCCGACCAGGGACCATCCCTCTGATGCAAGGCACTTTGCCGCATGGTAGGCATGGCCTCGGTTCGGGCCGCCCGGCCCGGGACCGGCCCGACCCGCTACTGTGCGGGTCCGGCCCGGCCCGGTTTTCCGGGTCCGGTTCGGGCCGGAGGCCCGGGGGTGGGGCGGTTCCGGGCTCGGTTCATGGGTTTGACGGCCCGGCCTGGCCGGTTCGGGCCCGGGTCCGGGCCAAATCTATTTTTTTTTTAATTTTTTTCATTTTTTTTGGGTTGTGGGGCTTGGGCTATCTGTTTAGGCCGGTTTGGGGGGGTTTAGGGGGTGGGGGTGGGGGGGGGAGAAAGGAAAAAAAAAAAATTAAACTGGGTGGCCCGACCGGCCCGGAACCGGACCCGGGACCGCCCTACCCCGGTTCGGGCTCGGGCCTGCTATTACTGAACCGAGGCCCGGCCGGGCCTAGGCCCGAACCGGCCCGGTTCAGTCCACCACTACCGCATGGCAGAGGATCTCAATCCAGAGCAACCTCTATGTGTTTAGGGGTGTATGTAAGGTTTGTAGGACGGTTCCCAAAAGTTAGGTATACCGTATACGGGTTCATTATTTGAGGTTTCAAAACTTCATACTCCCTCCGTCCCCCTAAGTTTGGGACGGAGGGGTGTGGTGTGGTTTTTAAGAAAAAGTGGAATTGTGTGGTTAGTATTGAATTGATAAAGTGTAAATAAAGTAAGAATGAATTCTAACCATTCAAATGTTACCAAATAGGGTATGGGACAAACTTAGTGGGACGGACGAAAAAGATAAAACGGGACAAACTTAAGGGGACGGAGGGAGTAACTCTTGCTTTTTCTTATACTCCGTATTAAATTATACGTAGTATTAAAATCAATATCGTTTTCTTGTACTACATATATGTTTCTACAGTGTTTATGTAGTTCCTTTACATTAAAAAGAAGTCCCACAATCTATAAAAAAATTCGGAGTACTATTGAAAAAAACAGGATGACTTTTTTAACAAATTTTGTTAGAAAATCTAGTAGATTAGAACAAAAGAACAATTATCCAAAAAATAGTTGTTTGAACCATTGTAGACTCAAATTTATTAAACTGCAAGAATCACTATTTCTCATCAGATTAACAAGCTGAGGATATCATTGCTTCCCAGTCAACTAAAATGTGAAATTCAAATTACAATCTACTCCACCGTGTGTACGAGCAGTGAGAGGTTGTGCGGTTAGCAAAATTGATATATGCTCCAAAATGCGAGCCACTCAGCGAATGGTTGAGGGAGAACCTAATCATTCTTTGCGCACAGACGCTCTACAATTTAAGACAGTGAGAAAAAAGGATATGCTCATCAAATTATTTACTTCAAAACAGAAAAAATAAATTATCAAAAGAGACGGTTGCTACAATGCAGATATAATGAGATGATAAATAGTGACAAGATGATGAAAAGAAAGAGCGTGAGACGAGGCAGGGAGAGGCCATACTTAGATATTCATAGGCTAGTACCATAGATGTTCCCCATGCCGACATGCTGACAAACCTCGGACCCAGACCTCTGTATAATCCCGTCCAACCATCTTCTAAAAGAAGTTCTTTAACAACTTGCCTTGCAGTAGCTTTGTTGTCTCCGTGCCCCTTTACCTGCAGCGAAGCATATATTGCATTGAGACTAGGTACTACAGATATACTAATGCAGTTTATTTGTAGTACTCCTGTCCCATTTTGTTTGTCACTTTCAATATTCATTTTAGATATAAATTGTGTCAACCGAATGTCTTCAGTGTGTATCAAATTTGTAACATATTCAAATTTAGATTTTCAAGTTTAATAGAACTTTAATCAGGAGAGGTTTAACTTCAACTACAAAGATTTTGTAACTAGAGCGCAGTTTCTAAATATGCAAACTTTAATTATCAATATTAATTTAAATATATTCAGAAGATTATTTAACTTCAACTCCACTCAGACCTCATAATACCAAACAGGATGCATAAAGTGAGACAATGGGTGTCTTAACTACAGGACCTTGAATTTTTCTCAACTGTCACCCTTCCTTCCCAGCAAACTAAGACCTAAGGGAAAATAAGCGATAGAGGATGATGGAAGGTGTAAACCCCGGAGAGATCTATTACCACGGGGAATATATGATGAATGCAAGTAGTCCAAGCTAGATTACAGCACAAGTTCACCTAGTTTCTACTGAATGAGCTCTGGGATGAACACAACAGTCAGCATGATTTATACTGCTGCTTCACCAAATCCCCACCTAGCTCTCCGTGTAGGGCCAGAAGCCCAGAACACTAGGACTCCCTAGATTGCATCTGATTTTTCCCCTTTTCAGCCTAACATAAGCATTCCTAGTCCCCAACTTACCACAGCCTAAGCCTTTCTAGGTGTTAGGCCCCATCTAATACCCTAAGGCAATGAAGCACCTTTTGAAAACTGTTTCATACATTCATTGCGAAGCTATTCCCAGAGTGATAATTTACAGCCTGTTTGGGATAACTTATGGTGTAACTGCTTTTATAGCAATTATTTTCTCATGTAAGCACTTGAAGAGTAAAATGTGTTTTTAAAAAAGTATCAATTTGCTGCTGCATTCTTAAATAAGCATTAAAAGTGTTTTCTATTGTTAAATGAACTTCCATCTTTTGCCAAACAAGACTTTATGAAGTACAACTACATTTTTTCTTTACACAGCACTTGTTCCTTGAAATAAGTCATCCCAAAAGCACTCTTACTCTTTACCAAAAAACAGATTATATGTTACTCGACCCATCCCACAAAAAGCCCAAAGATTTAAAAGAGTCATGCTTTAAACAACTTTTGCCTACCAAAAAAAATTCATAAAACAATACTAGTTTTTCATGTCCTTGCATTACTTTTATGAGTCTTACCTTGTCATAATTAAAATAGTGCCTTCACCATATAGGGCTCGAGGGGGTATATTAAGGTAAGTCTTAGTGATGCCAGACCGCATAGTACGTATGCCACAGCAGTGCTCATCCAAGAAAATGTACCTGTAAGCGTGTCTTGAGGGTGTCAAATGGTGTGGTGACCAATGATGCAGTAGCACCTGCAACTATTCCACCAGCAGCTTGAACTGCCACTATCATCCCATCACTAGGATCAAGTTCCTTCTGCTCATTCATATCAACCAAGTGCCTGCCAGAAACATATCATAAAACTCTCTGCAACATAGTTTCCTAAGCCCGAATAGAAGTATAGCTTGCAGAAAGCAACAAGAATGAAGCAAGGGAAAACAGAACAAACGTATTAACAAAAAGAAAACACTTCAACAAATCGGCAATTTTTAATTATCCTCTATGAAAGAGATTGCATGTCTCACCTCCATATGAAGCGCTGGCTTGAGCCATAGCTTCCCCACCATACAGCCCCTGATGGTGCATATGTCATAACAGAGAGACCAAATCCCCTATATAGTCCACGGATGCCTTCACACTTCAGAATTTTGCGAGCAACATCAAACCCCCCATTGTAGCTAGCATGGCCCGAGTATCCTTGCACCATTAACCTTTGACTAACCTTTAAAATCCAATTTCATAAGTCACTCCCCACAACGTCCACAACAATTTGGTAAAGAATGATGCATAATCTAATTAATACTTCTGTATTAAAACGCTACGTGTTACAGTTCCACATCCAAAAGTTAAAGAGAAAATGTCGAGCTACTATGACTTTGACTTGAACTAGCTAACAAATTGGACTCAATCTTTTGGTGTTTTTTGGCTTAATGTCCTAGCATTTTGAATTTCAATTACAGGATAACAGATTCCAATATACAAGTATAAAATGACATGGTTGTACACTTGATAGGAGTGCTAGAATCTATACCAAAATATCACAGAGAGAATGATTGGTTAATTAAGAGATTGGGTTGTTGAACTGGCTCACATATTGGATTCAATCTTTTATTATGATTTGGCCCAAATGTCTTATGGCCCAAACGCAAATTCTATCAATATGTGAAACAAAACTAACCAAACCAAGAAAATTTTCATCACAAAGAAATTTGTCATCACAAATATGTTAAATTAAAGATTTATATATGGAGCAATCAAAATGGCCACAGTGCATAAATCAATTCAGAAAATCATATCATCAACAACATACCACATCAATGGGGACAAAAACAGACTGTGAACAGAGTGAAGCTATCAATCCACCAGCTCCATTTGCAATGGCTGCCTGTAGAGGTTCTGAAAACTTGAATGGCTCAGTCATCTTTAGAGCAGCTACTTTGGTCATCTCTAGTGCAGTCAGATATATAACTCTAACTGGAATTGTTCCCGTAACAACTGTAGCAAACCCTCTATACAAACCAGAAATCCCATCTGTCCTTAAAACTCCCCTGATTACCGATAAAGCATTCTTTTCCACAGCATGGTCAGCCACCTGCAATCTTGTCTTAACAACTGATATAGGATATAGAGCAACAGTGAGCCCTGAAAAAATTCCAGCTCCTACCAGATAAAACTTTGTTTTATCAAGCCTGCAGGGAGAGGTGGGCAATATAAACGAAACAAGACAATTTCCAAGAAATCTAAATCTTCTGTAGAATATAACCCAAGGGCACAAATGATATTTAAAGTTAACAGAAATGATTAGACTCCCAGAAGGGAACAGCACAAAGAAGCAATCTTTCCAAAAGAACAAAACCCAGTTTTCCCATTCGAGTTAAGAACAAATATTTCTTACTTGTCCCAATTTATCTCCGTTTGGAATCCTGGGTTAGATCGAGTTACATCCATTTCGGCACAACAGACTAAATCAGGATAGGTACAAAATCTAGGAACTTCTCGTCTGCCCAAACTTGAGGCTTCCAAAACTAAGAAAGGTCAGATAGGTAAGATAGCGTTCCTCAAAATCTGAAGAGGAGTCTTCCAAGTTCTTGCACTCGTTCGCATTCAGTAGGAATATCCCAAGAAAGAGTTTCTTGGAAAGGAAGCGCAGTGAATTGCTACTTTGAAAGTTCGTTCGTACTGTGTAAGCTAAACTGGAGTATATGGTAAAAATATTGAACACGCAAGAACCATTTTTATTTTTAAACTTGTTATAAAGTTTAGAGCCCGTTTGGAGAACTCTGTTTTAGGCTTATCAGGCTTATCAGCCAGCTTTTTCACCAAACACGTAACTTTTACTTTCGCGCGCTGAATTGTGTAATAAGCCGAAAAAGTAAGGTTGGAGTTACTTTTCTGGCTGTATTGGCTGAAGTTACTGTAGAGGACCATTTTAGCTATTTTTACATATAATTTTTTCTTTAATTTATTAATAAAATATATTTTTAAAATATTTTTTTCTTAAATCAGCAGAATCAGTCAAAACAGCCACTCCAGCCAGAATATCATAAATTTCAGCAGAATCAGCAAAAACAGCCGATTTTGGTGCTACCAAACGGGCTCTTAATAATTTGTTTCTTGCTTGTATGGATAAAATTTTAAAATATACTCGGAAACGATTAGCAGATGGGAATAGGAATACTCGGAGTAACATTTTGACATTTAAAGACTTTTCATTACAAAAGAAATTATAAGTGGTGAATCGTTTGTTTTTCGATGAGTGGAATCGTAGCTCTTTGCAAAGTTCATCCAAAAGTATTTTTGAATGAATCTGTTGAATGTTATCATGCTCCTAATTTCATCTACATCCACGGGAGTCCTAGGGAGGCAAGTGTCCCGCTTCCGACTGAAAGTTTAGTATTAGTAATGCAGATAAAAATTGTGCCCTCGATACTCGACAAGAAAATAGAGTTTTTTCATAAATATTACAGAAATATAATTAGTGGACAAAATATTACTATGGTTATTATGCATAGTTACGTACTATACCGATAAAGTTGAACTGTTGAACACAATCATAGATTCATGAGTTAATTATCAAAAGAGGACTAAAAGTCATTCACTTTGCACAAATAGGACCAAAAAATAAACTATGTTTCCATAGGACTAATTATGTTTGTCTTGGACAAATATACCCTTATACCTATTGGAATGTTTTAATTCATAATAAAATAATAAAAAATAATAAAAATTCGTAAAATATACCAAAAAATTAATAAAAATATTCTGAATAATAATAAATTTAAAAAAAAAATTTAAAAAAAAAAATAAAAATAAAAAAAATCAAAAAAATCAAAAAAAAAATCAAAAAAATATTTTTTTTGTCACCGCCGCCTACACCGCCCCAGCACCACCACCTCTAGTCATTTGGGGAAAAAATGCCAAATTTATTATGAATTCCATATTTTTGGCATAATTCAGAATGATTTAAGATGGAAGAAAAAAAATGTTGGCATTCTCAAAGAGAAATATGCCATATTTTTGGCATTTTCCAAAAAAAATGGAAGTTTGTAGGAAATATGACATTTTTTTTAACGGTCGGAAGTGGTGGTGCAGGGAGGCGGTACCACCACCTCCTGTCACCGGGGTAAAAAATGCCAAAAAAATTATGAATGCCATATTTTTGGCAAAAGTCAAAAGGATTCAAGTTGGCAGAATGAAAATGTTGGCATTCTCATAGAGAAATATGCCATTTTTGTGGAATTTAAAAAAAAAGTGGCATTTTTTACACCGATCGGAGGTGGTGGTTCAGGGAGGTAGTACAGGCGGTGGGAAACGTATCCATATTTTTTTTAATTTTTTTTATGGAGTTTTACTATTTTTTATTAATTTTTTTTTTTTAAAAAAAATTAAAAAAAAAAATTTTTCTTATTTTTTATTTTATAAAAATTTCATTAATTTTTTTATTATTTTTCTACGAATTATTGAAATTTTTTCGAATTTATTATGAATTAAACATTTATTTATGACTTTTAGCTATCTTTTACTAATATTTAAAGGAGGGGTAAGAATGGAAGGAAGAAATGAGTATGTTTCCAATAGGACCACTATGGTCCTATTTTGGAAAAAAAACATAGCAAGTCCTATTTTGAGTTTTTGTTATAGTTTTAGTCCTATTTGAAGTAATTTCTATAGATTCATAAGTCACTAAAATTATTATGATATATACTAAGTCATATTTTTGTCAACTATCTTTATTTCAATCATATTGTCGTTATTTCAAAAAACTATTAGATATATGGGACATATAACAATTCTAGTAATAATAAATATAAAGAACCACTAAGTTGTGATGGAGCAAATCCTGATATGCTCACTATACGTTACTTCCTCCTGTCCTTATTAAAGTTCTCAGTTTGACTTCACACAGATTAAGAATATAAATTTGACTTTACTGTGGAGTGCACTGTTTGACACTGTTTGGCACTGTTTGGCACTGTTTGGAGACTGTTAGGCACTGTTTTGCACTGTTTTGTTTCCTAAAATGAAAGTGTGAACTTAAATACGGGACATCCCGAAAGAGAAAGTGAAAACTTTAATAAGGACCAGAGGGAGTATATGAAAAGTGGCATTGATGATTTTTTTTTACTTAGTGGGAATAATGTTTATCAAAAGTTAAAGGTCAAAGATATGAAAAAGATTCTAATATGTGGGATGAACTTAATAGATTGAAAACTTTTATCTTGAATAAAAGTCTATACACGAAAAAATATGGCAATTCACCATAAAGTAGTTTCAAACGGATAGACCCTTCAAATTTTTTTATCTATAGTATGATAAAAGTTAAATACATAGAATCATATTATAAAATAAAGTTGTCTTAATGGATGAAATCATAAATTTGATTTATACTTCATTTTTAACACGATAGCATCAACAAATTTTGTGGCACATTGTGTAGCATTCAACATGATTCTAGTTCATATCTGAAATCTTGACCATTTTATAATATGAAAAATAATGAAAATTCTAATGTAAGGCCAGAAACGGCGCAAGGATGAATCACTTCTAATCCAAAATTTTGCGTTTCTTTAAAAAAAACCAAATATTATTGTTTAGGATTATGTTAATGAGTTCAAAATTAGACTTATAATTCATATATGTTCATTGTTTGAAGCCGACATTGAATAATCTATTTCAAGTTAAAAATTATAATTTGAACACACTTGACAAAAAAGATCGATGGTACACCCGGTTCGACTCGATCCAACCCATTTTCATCTATGCGGTAATGTCCCCGCTTCAGAAAACTTCTGGATCCGTCACTGTTTACATCTATGGATGCATTGGTATTCCAACCCCCTATATTAACGCTATGTGGTATAGGGGTGTTGAGTTGGGGGATTGATGAGGGTCTAGAGTCTAGACACAGCACACAACGTGCATGAATTATTTTCGAGAAATTGAAAATTAGTTTTTAATTTCTTTGTATTTGATCATTTCCCTTGTTTGTTGTTTTGACGTTTCTCATAAAGATCATCCATTCTCATGTGGACTTGTGGAGTAGTTAATATGTGACTGGAATAGGGATGGCAATGGTGCATTGCCCGTATCACAGTTATTTGTTTTATAATTCATGTACTTGTTCCATTCCACACTGTGTAATTTTTATCCAAATGTACCCTGTTGAAACGGGGAATTATTTCCCCTGCGTAATCACATTATCTAAAGATAATTTTATTTTATTTTTATGATAAAAAAAGATAATTTTATTTTTCTAAAATACTATCACCAACGAACAATAAGTTAATTATCCATTGGCACAACGAATACAGTATTATACAAATCAATCTTATCACAACAATGAAGTTAACATATAATTACAAAAAGTAATTATAAGTTATTACAATTATTGTATTACACACGTATACATGTTATTACCAGATCAGGATAGAAGTTTTGACTTTATTTCTGATTGTATTGTAGGCTAGATGGTTAATGCCATACTTGAGTAATGTTATCTTTTCTTTGGATGCCAAAAAATCATTTAGATAGAAAATGACAACTATACAAAATAATCATAACTAAAGTGAAACTGTGAAAGGGAAACTAAATTAATCTTTTACATAGAAAATTACAGCAACTACACAAACTCATCTCTTCTCGCACAAGTGATACTTCTTATATTTTACGAATTATATGATATATACCTAATATATGAAGTATTTACATAAGGTACTAATTATATAATCTATTTAAATACTCCATATATAAGATCATATCACGGGTCGAGTAATGGTGCGGGTAACTGTACCCTATGAAGCACATATACTTCACTAGAGTATCGTATCGGCGTATCATAAACATTCCCGCATCAGATACGTACGTTCCCGGGCCGTATCTATAATTTATTAAAAGTATCCAACTTTTTTGGTGATTATTTTAATATTTTGGATACCTGTATTCTGACGGATACACATATCAACTTTTTGAAAAAAAAAAAACAAAACCCCCAAAATTTACATAATAAAATTCTAAAAGAATGAAAAACTAAAAATAAATTTTACTCTATTTTAATCTCGCACACAACTAAGTATATGTACAACAACTAAAATGTGGGATGTTGGTGGAGATAACTTTGGGAGCATGGAGAATAAATGAGTACTTGAGTTCGCCAGTCTTTCCATAGATGAACTCATGAACCAGAATGAGAGACTCTTTTTTAAGAAGACTAGTATATGTACCCGTGCACCGCACAGAAAAATATGTTCTAGTGTTTGTTATGAAAAAATATGAATGAAAAATAAATTTTAAAAAATAGAAGCGATACTAAATCATATGTGAACTCATAAACTGTGCAAATCAATGAGTTATACAGAGTCGCTAAGAAAAAATTTACAAATCATAAATATTATTGTTGAAAAGTACTACGTAGAATTGAATATATAGTTGAATCGAGGATGCAAGGAAGACAAATGAATCTTAACCTAGGAGAGAGATACTAATAAAACTTAAACAAGAGAACGAATCAACCTTTACTTCCATGTTAATGTGCTAGACCTTGTGATCAGGGAGCTATTATGTATGTCCAAATTTTATTCCTTATTCTTATTTTATTCAGACCATATCAGAAGATTAGATCAGACGATACATATCAAATTAAATCAGGTAAAAAATATCCACATCAGACATGAAATTTTCATATCAAATTGATATGATATATTACTTTTATTATTATTAATATTATAATTATTATTAAATTATTAATATCATCATCATCAACATCAACATTATCATTGTCATCATTATTAGGAGGTGACATGATCTGATCCAATTGGTAACATTATGTTTTATATGTATTTTAAGTATGGTTTTCAAACCCTTTCATATGTAAAATTTGGACTCATCCAAACATCTCTCAAACTTATAAATCAACATCTTCTTAATTGTTGTATGAATCTTGATTCCCTAGAATAAGCAATATAATTACAATAACGGGACCAATATACTTAATCCAAAAATGAAAAAATGGGACAATTATTGAGGGACGGAGTGAGTAATAGTTATGGTATGATATCTTAAACAATTGTATATAGGGGAATATGATATTCCACTCCACTTTTTTGATGATATCAGACTTTGCATTCCGGTTTGAAAAACTTTGATTTTGTATTCTAACACAACATTTTGTAAGAAAAATTTCAAAATGAGATGTAAAGTTAAAAGGTTTTGAAATGAAATTAAGTGCAAAATCAATTTTTTTTCAAAATGAAATGCAAAGTCCAATTATCACTCATATTTTCAGCCTGTACTAGCCTAAGAAAACAGAAATCTTAAACATGACCAAAAAAAGACACCCTGAAGAAAGTTACGTTGCATTTGACCATTCCCATCCTAAGATTAACAGATTCATCATTCATGGTAATTTCTGTTCAATAAAGAAGCTTACTGTCTTGGTGTTTTCCATCACGCGCAATAATCACGCATTCAGATTCCTCGGCCCCTCGAACATAATACGCACTAATAATAATGTTAGATAAAACTCAAAATCTAAATCTCGTCTCCACCACACCCCTTCAGATTCGAGCCTCTGATGCGTCTCCAGCAACAGCTAGATAGATCGGAAGGAAGAAGGAAGTACCTTGTAATATAGACCACGAAATTGAAGAAGAAAAAATGGTTTCCGTGGCTAAATAATTGCAGCGGTGAGTAGGAAATATATTTCAGGTTTTTGTTTCAGTGTCTTTTTCAATAACTTTTACCATATTGCTCTGTTTTCTGCTGTAGTATGGCTCAGTGTCTCAGTAGCAGTCTTGCTGTAGTTTTTGTTAGTTGATCTGCTAAGATCTGATTACATACTTTTCATTCTCATTTTGAGTTTTTATCTGTTTTATTTGTAAATTTTTATACAAGAAAGATTGATCTCTGCCCATTACTTTTGTTATTAACTTGTAATTATTATTTTTCCTTGTGGAAAAATCTGAAAGTGCAACTGGTCAAAATTAATATTTTGAAAGTAACTTTCTTTTATCTGGATGAATGAGTCATGCTTATATCTACTAGTAGTATTTTCTTGCAGAGTGATTTCTTACAAAAAGATTCTATTTCAGCTCTCTAATACTGTGCTTGAAACAATGTGGTTGCAGACAGGTTATGTAATCCGTTAGGGATTTTTGTGTTTGTGAGCTAAAGATGCCTCGAGTTTCTGTTGATGAAAATTATGAAGGTAGGGGGGATAATATTAACATCAATGAGAATGGGAATCATGTGGTTCATATTGACAATTCAGGTTTGGCATCTCAAAGCACTCAGAAAGTTAGAACCGGGTATATGGCAAATGAGGTGGATGAGCCATCTATTGAAGAGCTCTATGAGAATGTGTGTGATATGCAGAGTTCTGAGCATTCGCCATCAAGGCCAAGTTATGGGTCGGATGATGATGAGTCAAGAATAGATTCAGAGTTGCGCCATCTTGTAGGAGGAGCGATGAGGGAAGTGGAGATAATGGAGGAGGATGAGGAGGTGGGGAAGCTGGAGATTGATGATGATGATGATGATTCTCTTACTAATTTTAGCTGTAGAGAAGAAGGCTCTTCTGCTGGGAAGTTGGACTGTTCCAAATCTGAAACTGCCAAAAGAAGTCCTCCATCAGGAAAACCGAAGAAAGCTTCTCAATCACACTTGGAGTCTGAAGCATCTGTAAAGTCAAATCCAAAAGGAAAAAATACTCAAGAAAAACAAGAGAGGGGTGGTGCCTCCTTGAATAAACAAGAGAGAGGTAGTGTCTCCTTGAATAAACAGAAAACTTCATCTGGGAGTGGTAATGAGGACACACCAGATTTTGGTGTGGAAAATCCTGATCTTGGACCACTGCTGCTTAAGCAAGCAAGAGATGTGATTTCTTCTGGAGATAACCCAAGCAAAGCTCTTGATTTAGCTCTCCGAGCTGGAAAAGCTTTTGAAGGATGTGCGGATGGGAAGGCCAGCTTGGATATGGTCATGTGTCTGCATGTGACAGCAGCAATATACTGTGATTTAGGCCGGTATGGTGATGCCATACCCATTCTGGAACGCTCAATTAAGATTCCAGGAGCAATTGAGAAAGACCAAGATCATGCATTGGCTAAATTTGCTGGGCATATGCAGTTAGGTGATACCTATGCAATGCTGGGTCGAGTTGAGAAATCTATTATTTGCTACACCACAGGTTTGGAAATCCAAAGACAAGTTCTTGGCGACAGTGATCCAGCTGTCGGCGAAACGTGCAGGTATCTGGCAGAAGCTCATGTCCAGGCGTTGCAGTTTGATGAGGCTAAGGAACTCTGCCAGATGGCCATGAACACGCGAAAAGGTGATGGTTCGTCTCCTTCCCTCGAGGAGGAGGCAGCAGGCAGGAGATTGATGGGATTAATATGTGAGTCTATGGGAGATCATGAAACTGCCCTTGAGCATCTTGTTTTGGCCAGCATGGTCATGTCGACAGCCAATGTACAAGAAGCAGAGGTGGCATCTGTTGATTGTAGTATTGGGGATGCATATCTCTCACTTAATCGCTATGATGAAGCCGTTTTTGCTTACCAAAAGGCACTTGAGGCTCTCAAGTCTAGCAAAGGAGAAAGTCATCCATCTGTTGCTTCAGTTTTTGTCCGTCTGGCTGACTTGTATAACAGGACTGGTAAACTGCGTGAATCAAAATCTTATTGCGAAAATGCCCTTAAAATATATGGGAAGGTGTTGCCAGGTGTTGCTCCAGAAGAGATCGCCAGCGGTCTTACTGATGTTTCTGCTATTTACGAATCAATGAATGAGCTTGAACAGGCACTGAAGTTGCTGGGTAAGGCTTTAAAGATTTACAATGATGCCCCTGGTCAGCAGAGTACTATTGCTGGCATTGAAGCCCAGATTGGCGTAATCTATTACATGTTGGGGAGATACACAGACTCTTATAACTCTTTTAAAAGCAGCATTTCAAAGCTTCGTGCGAGTGGAGAAAAGAAATCTGCTTTTTTTGGAATTGCTCTCAATCAAATGGGGCTTGCTTGTGTACAGTGCTATGCCATAAATGAAGCTGTAGAGTTGTTTGAAGAATCACGGGGCATTTTGGAGCAAGAATGTGGACCTTATCACCCCGAGACATTAGGTGTGTATAGCAATCTTGCAGGCACATATGATGCGGTGGGCAGGTATGCACAGTATATCAACCTCAGGCTCCATACCATTCTTTGTTTTGCTTGTTACCCCCTATATTGTGTTTATGAAACATCACCATATATAAGTTATGTCACCTGTATTCTTTTTTCTCTGTAAATGCTCCAATGTATAAATTTTGCTGTACACAGGCTGGATGATGCAATTGAGATCTTGGAATTTATTGTTGGCATGCGAGAGGAAAAGTTAGGAACTGCAAATCCAGACGTGGACGACGAAAAGAAGAGGTTGGATGAGCTATTGAAGGAGCGCGGTAGGGTCCGGAATAGAAAAACCAGATCGTTAGAGGATCTTCTTGATGTTAACCACCATCCTAATACTGTGAAAAACAATGGAATTAAGGTTTGATGACTATATCTATATATGGAATGACTTGTTCTCTGCATACATATATTTATTCTGTTAATAAAACATACAACATATAAAACAAAACAATATACTCCATAGGATGTTTTTTCATCAAAACTTGTGAGTGGCTCAAACATGTGGTTCCCAGCTGCATTGAAATGCGAATTAGGTTACCACATATAGTTTTTAGAGTCTGTCTTCTTTTTATTGTCTTCGGTATATCACATTCATAAATGTACTCTACTACTCTTGCAGGTGTAAACATTGTCATCTTTTGTATATCATTATATAAGAAAGTTGGTTATTTTTATTTAATCTTTCTATACACAGTCAAGTAACGAGTTGAACTTTACTTTGTTCATGTGTGAATTTCACTGGCACCAGAATGCATCCTTTAGTCAGTGTCTAAAATGTCCTCCGCTTTCAACGTTGCTCATTTGATGCTACATCATTGCCAATATGCCATCATAGAAGAACCCATATCTATGGCGGCTAGGGTTTCAGACCTGGGGCGATAGTTTTGGATTTATATCGGTGTCTAGGGGCAGGGGTTGGGCAGTGGTAGGGCAAGGTTCTAGGTAGCTCCAATGAAGGAAAGGGGGCAGTGACGGGTTTGGGGTAGGGGCGTAGGGCATTGGTGTTGGCAGGCAGTGGTTAAAGGCAGCCATGTTTGGGAGGAGGGGTGGGGCAGTGGCAATAGGTGCCAGGCGGGTGTAGGGGTGGGGATAAACTGTGGTAGTGGTGGGGGTAGTGGCAGAGGTGGTGGGTTGGGGTAGTGGTGGGGTGGTGGCGGAGGCGATGGGTTGGGGGCGATGGTGGGTAGCGATGAGTAACTAGGTGTCAATGTCACTCGCCAGAAAAAATAGGTCACTATTGGGGCTTAGTGGTGTATATTTTTCATTGGGAAACGGAGTCATTGGACTGGTTGTCAGGTCACTAAGGTCTAAGGGTGGTGCCATTGATCGCCGGGTCGCTGGTCAGTGGGAGTTGTGGTCACTATGACAGTTAGGGGGTGTATTGATTTGAGACTTCTAAAGACATTTTAAGATTTATAATTTTCATTAGTAGACTTTTTTATATTTACAAGGACTTTCGTAGATTTGTGTTGACATTTTTGTTAAAGACATAAATAGATTCTGGGTACGCAGTAGTTGCAAGCATTTCCCTCTCCACACTCCTGCAAGTATTTTCTTCTCTTTGAGATGCTCTTGGATCTATTCAAGTGTTCCAATTCCTCGGAGGTTGCCTTCTCCTTGAAGTATTTCCTACTCCTTGACTCCTTGAATACTTCCTTCTCCTTGACAACCACGCCGTAGGTTGCCTTCTCAGCGGCCAAAAACTTCTTGAATTCTTGCATTAGAGCGTAATTCGGAGTGCCATGAGGAGTCTTTTTTGTAGAGCTCGATACCTGAGCTTTCGTGAGCTCAACCATCTCCGGCAGACCAGGGACCACGAATCTGTCTGAATCAGACTGCAAACTGTCATGAATCTTGGATTCCATTATTCTATGGTTGCACAGCGGGAGAAGCAGCACGTTTTGTGGAAAACAAAGCGGAGAACGTTCAGACCCAGAGCGATTTCCGCCATCCACAGCAGCACCATGTCTGAAATGAGGCAATTTGGGGTGGTTCAAGTAGTCCCAGCACCTTTTCCGCCTCTTGCTGCAGCTTGTTGAATGCCGTCAAGAATTTGGGTGCCATGTCTAGGGAAGGAAGCAGGACAGCAGGTGACATTTACGCATGGTCTCACCAAATCTCATGCAGAGAGGTCGGATTTGATAATGGGATTTCCCATTGTATTTTCCTAGTAGAGTCCCACTAAATCCCTTTTCTAGATTCTCAAAATGTTTTAAAATGTCAATTAAATTCATCCAGTTTTTGGAGTTTTTAAAAGTCCCAAACGAATGCATCCCCTTAGTCACTGAGTGTATAAGGGGTCTGGGTCAATGGGCTCATATATGTCGGTGTATGAAAGTCATCTTAATCACTTTTATAGAATTTCTTAAAATCCATCTTTTCTCACCCACAACTTTGCCTTGAGTATTATTTATGTCAAACCCCCAAGTAATAAACATTGTATTCAGGATGTTTTTACTTGGATTGTAATTTATTTCAGACCAGATCAGATCAGATCAAGCTTGAATAGTTATAAAAATACAAAGAGACCAAACATTACCAAACCATATCAGACTAGACAACACCAGACCGGCAAATTACAGTAAAAACATCCTTAATGTCATAATTATCAATATCGAAGCAAATACCAATGAAATGATCATCATTGAGTTTTGGTTACTAATATATAAGTGTGTGCATTGAATCTGGAGTCAACGGCTGACACGTCAGTCGTTGACCGTTCCGTTCAGCCTCAGCGTTTGTAGGTTGCGGACATAATCAAGCCGGAACGCATGGCCTGCTCACCACAGTAGTTTTAGTGGACTTATGATTGGACTGTGAATTCAAACAGAAGTGAGAGAAGGCCGTTGGACCTTCCTTGCATGACATGGGCTTGCCTCATAACCAGTGAGGCAGTGAATGGTCGAAATGCTGACCATCCAATGGACCATTCAATCTCAAATGGCTACTTTTAATTAACATTAAAAGGAAGAGATTAAGTGCCTAAAGTATTACACCATTATTTTATACTCCCTCCGTAACTTAAAACCTTCCCATTTCAAAAGTAGGTAAATTAAGAATAGTGAAAGAGGATATGAATTATTGAGGGTATAATGGGAAGATAGTAGAATAATGTGACGGAATGTAGGATAAATCCTAAAAAAGTAATTGTAATAGGGTATTATTTTCAGAATTATTGAGGGTATGATTGGAAGAATTAGAAATGTGAAGATTTTTTTGTTACGCACGAAAAAGGAAAGTGGGAAGATTTTTTTGTTACGGAGGGAGTACTTCATTTGATATGGTTTTCTACACCTATATAAATCCCTCACTTCTTTAAACATAAAATAGTTTGGTGAGGCATTGCTGAACATTTGTAAATTTGCTCATACACTATTTTCTTAATGCTTCAATCGGAAAAGGGGCAAATAAGCCCTCGAACTAATCAAAAAAGTGCAAATAAGCCCTTTTGTAGGAGATTCTGTCCGATCATCGTAATTTGGGGAGGTTCTCGGTGGAATTTTTTGATGAATTTTTTTGAGCATCTTCTTCATTAAGTCTAGTTTCGCCATACCGAATTTCAGCTAAAAATTCAACCGGGAAAGCACTCAAATGATTTTCGGAAATATACTGCGTTGTTTAACTGCGCAGTTATCTTCAAAAATTCATTTGACTGTCTTCTCGGTTGAATTTTTAGCTGAAATTCAGTAGAACTAAACTAGAGTTAATGAATAAGATGCTCAAAAAATTTCATCAAAAAATTTCACCGTGAACCTCCCCAAATGACGATGACCGGACGGAACCTCCTACAAAAGGGCTTATTTGCACTTTTTTTATTAGTTCGAGGGCTTATTTGCCCCTTTTCCCATGCTTCAATTAATCAATTTAAGAATCTCTCTTCATGTCAGTTAGACATGAAGTATTAAGTTACTCAAAGCCTGACTGCCTGAGTATATTAAGTAAACATTTGCTCTTCATTTTTCTCATCTGGCTACATGACCCTACATCTAGAGTTTGTGCATTCATTCTCGAGCCTTGCTTAAAATTTGATATACTGTTACCTCTATAGTTTATGTTGTAAGCACTTTTATAGATATCAACAACCATCATCACTCTTTCTCTACATTCGTTCATATCAATCAAGAGAGAAGAAGATAGTTGCGCTACAACTGAATGAGTACACATTTGTGAAATCAAGTTCGAGGAAATCTTAAGCAAATGAGGATAGTCACAAAATTCTTAGGTCAGGAGAATCTATAAATCCTCGAAGGTTGAGGAGAGCTTGAAACCCCTTAGGTTGGGAAGAGTCTTCAAAATTGTAGGTATATGAAAGCTTGTAAATTCTTACTCATTGACAAGTTTTTTTTTGTCATAGTTCCTTGCGATGCTTTTGCTAGTTCTAGGAGACCGGAGGATAATGGATCATGAAATCCTAAAGGGAACACCTTTAGGTACTGAAGAGGTTACTGAATCCATATGAATCACGGCGTAATCTTTGCCTTTACTTTATTTACTTATACCGTGTTTATTTGTGCTTAATTATTTACACACATCCACAACCTTAGGTAAACTATCGCACTAGGCGTTTAGCTTTTGAAGCATCCATCTTGGACTCGATTACTCAACGAGTAAGATAGACAATTGGATCCTTCCCAACCGAAGGATAAATTTACAAATGAGTCTTTAAACTTCTCCTTTATCGAACTTTTGAATTTTGATAAGTGAGGTTATGAACTTATGACTCGAGCGATAATTTTTTAGACACAAATAAAATTGGAGTGCAACTAATCCACCCCTTCCCATGGTGCATATATGTGCTTTCAATTACATGCATTTTTCTCAACTTTGGTGTTATAATCTTATGAAGGAAAAATTAATATTATAGTTTAACTATGTGTTTTTCAAAATTAATTATCCCTCATGATTTTTATTGGAAAAAATTGCAGTAGTATCACTACCCGTGTTTTGATTTCAAAAAACATTACCTTTTTACATTTTTTTAAAAATATGACTTTTTCTTCCAACTCACTTACCCTTTTCCACCATTTGCCACACGAACCAGCGAGACGAAGCTACAACGACGGAGACGACGACGAGGCTTCAGCGACGGAGATGAAATTCGCGACTGCGGCGACATCTTCTTCGTCTACAGTAACTCGTTTTCCAGAGACTGGAAGGTGAATTCGTTTTTTGAGCTTGGATCCAATTGTGACGATTGTTTGTGAAATTGGGGAGCGGTTTGGGGGTCGCCAGCCTCTAGCGCACCTCCCAGTACCAATTTCAAGTCCCGAATCCTCCTAAATCTCTAGAGTCTAGAAGCAAAAGAGTCATTGTTGTGATCGTAGATTGCTTGTTCTCCAGATTTCTGAGCTTGGATTGGGAGTCGCCTTGTTTAGACGCGTTTTTGATACCTAATTCAAAGCTTTTGGTTTGATTTTTTGTTTTCTCCTTTGGATGGGACTAGCCGGAGTGCGTCGTTGCTCGGAGGGGGCTGGGAGAGGGTGATGTGGCACTGGAAAGATGAGATGGGGGAGCTGGGGATCGGGATGGGGGCTTAGGGCATGGGGGTGGCTGGGGGATCGGGGTGGTTGGGGTTAGGGAGGTGATTGGGGGTTGGCCGTTGGGGAGTCAAGCCGGCGGCCGGCGACGACCGGCGGTGATGGTCAACGACGGCGGTTCGCGGTGATGGTGGGGCAGGGGGCAGTGGTGTGGTAACTGATTGGAGGACGGTGACCAGAGTAATTTGTATGTCACTGCATCGTATCGGGCGGCGGTCGACAACGGCGGTCTGCTGTGATGGTAGGCGGTGGCGCTAGCGTGAGGGAGCAGGTGACACCGGAGACGGCATGTCACTGTGACCGGATTTGGTGTGTCACTGTGGTGGCGGAGTCACTATGGCGGCGTAGTCACTATGCGGCGGAGTCACTGTAACAGCAGTCACTGTGACCGGTGGGTAGTCACTGGGCAGTCAAAGTGACTACCAGTCATTGCATTTCGATTCTTAATTATACGGCCAGGTGTATTCAAAAGTCATATTATTGGAAATTTGTGTTTTAGCATCCGTATAAAAAGGCATTTTTATTGTTTATTGATCTCATCAATATTTATCTCATTCACATATATAAGCATCACTCTGATAAATGCTATCTGAAATATTTATTCTACAATGTCAAAACAATAGCCAATAGCCCAATAGCATTACAAACTAAAGTTGATGCAAATTGCTACTACCTCTGTCTCTGTTTTAAAGTGCCACTTTGTATTACATACAATTTTAAAAAGTAATACTATTTGACACGGTTTGGCACTTTTGTTTACTAAATAAGGAAATGGGACATTTTTAAGGGATAGACTGAAAAGGAAAGAAGGATGTTTATTTAAAGTCATAGTCCTCCATTTCTTTCTTTCCATTTCCCCTCCATTTCTTTTTCACTCTCTCCTACAAATCACTAACCCACCTCGTCTATCTCACTCTCTCCAACTGCAAATTTCCAGTCACTGAAGAGGAGTTCGATTCGTTTATTTAGGGACGGAAGAAGTATTCGCCAAATACTTTGAGACAACCATCGCAACCAGCACAATACCAGCCCGTCCCAGGTGCGGCCCCAGTCCCCCCTCCCTCAAACAGTGGACTCACTGCCTGGTCCAGGAGCCAGACAGTGGACAGTCCACCCATGCGCCTGTACAGCAATTTACTCCGTATCAAATTACAGCTCTAAAAAGTAAAATAAAACTCAATATGCTGCAACGAACTATGTTTACATGCACATCAGTTGGTTTTATTGATTATGCCCTCACTGACTGAAAACACTGAAATAATAACAATGTTTGTACAATAGCAGAAACAGCAAGGAATCTAAAAAGAATATTAAAGAAAACACTTCCCTTCGTGATTTAAGATTTCAACGCACTGAGCTACGATCTTCCTTTTGATGCAAGTAAGAACTTCCAGAGTTATCCATTTGGGCTGCTTCTTTCTCTGTGCCATTAAATGCAGCAGAAGAAACATATTGTCAAATAAAATGCTCATCTTGCTGCGCAAACATTTCAATAGACAGATTTATAACTTTAGGAATCAAGAGCAGGATCTTCTGTCTTCATACGCTTTGTTGCAGGTTCTTCACCGTCCTCTTCATCATTGTTTAATCCATTCACCGCTTCTGGGCCCAAAAGAGAAACATGTTTACTAGTGATCTGCCGACCTGCTCTGAGTTTTGGGCCCCAATGTCGTTCAGGGTTGGGAAGGAAACGTGCAACCTTCTTTGCCTGCGCCTTGCTCAGTGATGCAACAGCCCGTGCGAAATTGGCCTAAAACAATAAAATGAAGAAATAAGTATTTTTAGAGCTTCAGTTTTAAAGCACTGTTCTAAAACTTCTAGTCCGGGCACCAAGGCATGCCCTTAACCCTCCTCTAATTTTAACAATTTGGGCCTCTCTAGGGGTTAGGCAGCACCAGTCTACTATGCCTAGAGACAGTTAAGCGCTTTTCTAGAACACTGGTTTGAACAAAATTTACATCAGATAATAAGCACGAACACACATACGTAGTAGAGATGTATTAATTACATACATCAAAATCAGACGCACTTCGATTTTAGTAAAAAAAAAAAGCATTAACATCAATGTATTAATTACAAAAATTCAATTTACCAATTTGTAATGATGAACAATCTTAAGTTCTTAACTGTTACATAAATTTTAGGGAAATTACACATTGAAATGTCATCCTTGTGTTTGTTATTTTTGTAAATGGGATCCCCAATTGTCCAAATTTTGTAAATATTGTCCTTGCCCGTGTATATTATTAGGCCACGTGTTAGTTCAAGAATACATGGGGCGAGGATGACATTTACAAAAATTTGGACAATTGGAAGTTGCATTTACAAAACTAAAAACAGGGGACCGCATTTCAATTTGGGTACTAACTGATAGACCAAAAGTGTGATTTCCCCTAGATTTTAAAATTGAAAACGTGAGTTTCTTGCATTTGTTTGTAACAAATTTAAGATCTAACAAGTGTAGTCAAAGTCGAGCGCCTGTGCGCTTTAAGCACACCAGGCACAGCGCAATACAGATCCAGCGCTTGAAAAATGAACAGGCGCACCCTCCTGTCTCAGGCGCAGCTTAGGAGCACCAAGCGCTGAACGCGCAGTAGTTGTATTAGGTGCTCGCTCATTGAGCCTGACGGGAATTTTTTTTATTTAAAGTTCATTGAGGGTGTTTCACATGAGCGGTCAAATAAGACCATTAAGAAGCCCATATTTTTAAGGGGAAAATAAATAATATACCCCGAACTTTGCCTTGGTGTGAGCTCCCCACCCCAATCTTGTCCTAGTTTAAAAAATACCCCCAACTTTATTTATTTAATTTTTTTGTACCATATTTTAATTAACAAATAATATTTCTCAAATTATAATATGTTAATTAGATTTAGTTGGCAAAAAAAGATGTGTGATTCTCAAATTAATGTGTGCTTTTAGAATTGATTAAATAACTTCAAAATATCTAATTTATTCAAAAAAAAATTCTACATCCTCTAATTTGTGGTTCTGCACATTTCTCTCTACTGCACAAATCTCAACCACACAGTTTTTACTATTCTTATTTCTCACCTACTTTGCACTTGGCAAAGTCTACCGGGACGGAGGTAGTAATAAATACTAATGACCCAAATCGCACCGATGTTGGCCTGACCAACTTCCTGAGAGGCACGCCTGACAGGAATAGATCTCTCTCTCTCTCTCTCTCTCTCTATATATATATATATATACACACACACACACATAACTACATACACACATATATGAAAAGCACCTGCAGAACAGGTTCCTTCGCAAGAATGACGCTTCCAGAGAGGTCAGGTGATTGAGCTTTCACGGGATGATTTTTGACCTACATAGAAAAATCATTTCAAGAAGACAATATAGTACAACATCCATTTCTATACGGTAAAACATCACATTAATATTACATTGCTTCCATCCTGGGATAAGAAAAAATACAGTCCACTTACCCAACACCGCATTATATCCCATATGACATCCATTGGAGCATCTGTTTTAAGCCCCAGGGGATTCACATGAGTTCCTGATATACGATATCCTGCATTGATCACTGCAGAGCGAAATATCACAGCTGAGGGGGAAGTGCATTTGAGTGTTGAACAGAGATTGTGTAAACTGAGAAACAAAGGAACATCTGGTAATTCCTGCAAAGAAGAACATCTAGTTATTTCCAAACACTACTAATGAAATCCATAACCATATTACATTTTCTACTCACTGATTTCTACAAACAAGAGGGGACCATTTATTTTCTAATTGGTTTGCTCAAGATGGCTGAATGACTTATTTCGAATTGATTTCCATATTTGCCCATGCTTATTTGGAATTCATTAGTTGCTTTTCTCTCTCTAACTATAAATGGGAGTTCCAGCCCAATGTAAGGACAATGCAGGATGAACCGGCACATAACAAACAGAAGTCTCTCCATCAGCAACTGGACCTGATTATTTTATGACTCACACCATGAGCAAGCCAGCAAGGGGGGTAAAGAATAAAAATAAGAAGAAGAAAAAAGCATACAAGAAACGGAAAATGAAATATCTAGAAAATTCCTACTACCTTGCTTGCCTTATTGTTGATTTAAAACGTCCATTCATAGTTGGGGATTTAGAAATACCATGCTCAATAAAGAAAGAGAAAATAAAATCTAATCCACTTTTAAATAAGCATAGTAAATAAACTACATAGAAGGAAATCAGTTTGATATAAAAATCAATAAAACATACTTCGTATTAAACAAATCAAACAGTAAAATTGATCCTTAAACATTCTATACCATGCTTCTTTGCATGTAACATCCCATACTTTAACAGGTAGGCATTTGTATTTCTTGAGCGCATTAGAACATAACATTGAAATATAAGAGAGAATGGACTTGAAGTGTCTTTTATCTTGGAAAGTCGACAATGCCGGGAACGTAGAACTAAATGTGGAAAAAAATAAGTAAATCAGTTTAAGAAATTCTATTTATTATTAAGTATATCTTACATTCTTACTTAAATTCCACCTTTCACTTTTGTAGATGCCTTAACAGAGTTAGGGAGGGCTCGGGTAACTATGGAACGGCAAGGCAGTGCTCTTTAAGGTTTTAGACAAGTCATGGGTGGTAGTGTTCTAGTATTTGAGAAGAAAGATTATAAAGTTAATAAAAGAGTATCAAAGAGACTTAGCTAAGATCTTGTTTGGTGAATAATGAATATGCAAATCGTAACTATGACATAAAAATGGGACAGATGATGTAATTTTATACAATAAGTGTATAATCATATGATAGGGCCCTGGGCTGTAGAGAATAATGATAATAATAGTGATAGATTGATATTGAATAAGTTTGGTATTGTATAAATAAGTATTTTGGGCCATGTCATATAATATGGGCTGGCCCGTTAGAATAGAGTACTATAAGAGATAGAAGGAAGGGAGGAAAGTGGTAGGCAGAATTTTAGACTTGGGCTGGGAATTCTGGGAGAGATAGGCTGCTCGAAGTGCCTAAACCTGTATCGTTTCATTCCTGTTCATCAATTACGTTCATAATAAACAACCATTTCCCTCCTTCGATTCTGGTATCTATCATTGGTATCAGAGCATAAGTTCGTTTCTGGTGATTGGAATAGTTACGCAACATCAGAAAATTTTTCGTTCCATCTCCGTTTCAGTTGTGGAAGGTCTGGACGAGATCCAAACATGGAGAACAGAAGGGAAACCATAGAGCGGAACCCTACCTTGGTGAAAAAAGTTGCGATGAAGTTGGCGACACTAGAGGAAACAATCGCGACGATGAACAGTAACGAAAATCGATTGAGGAATCGATCGCTCAACCAGTTCGCGTCGCACTTCTCATCCGTGCAGCTTGCATCGCCCAATTCCGATCATTCTCGTTCAAGTGGAGATCGCTACAGTTGTAGAAGACCTGTTCATACTGGAAGAAAGGTTGAATTACCGCGGTTTAAGGGGGATGATGCGGGCAGTTGGATTGTTAAGATGGAAGAGTATTTCCGTCTCAAGGCTACTGCTCAAAAAAATAAGGTGGTAGTAGCGGAAGGTGCGATGGAGGAAAGAGCATTAGCCTGGTTTCCATGGTGGTATACTCAAACGACTGAAAAGAGTTGGAAGGCTCTGAAGGAAGCCATAAAGCTGCGTTTCCAACCTATACGCAGTCAGAGGACAGAGAACGAGAATCAGGAATCATCGACGAGAACTTCTATCAGTTCACAGAAGTCTTCGCCAACAACTTCCTTCAGTTCCAGATTATTGATAACTGCACAGGTTTTTTATAAATCGCGAGAAACTACTTCTTCTAGTTCTCAGGTGTCTTCTCGCAGTTCGCAATCAGTTGCATCATTTCCTCATAAGTATGTGAGTCAACGGCAAACTCTTGAGGAGATGAGTTCAAAGCGAGTCAGAGAAGACGCATCTAAGTTCACCGAGAGTGACAATGAATGCCAGGGACAATTATCGCCAACAACATCTGTCAGTTCGCAGGCTTCGGCAACCAATTTAATGAAGACGCAATCGAGATATGAACCTCCCAGTTCGCAGATTTCAGCCCAATCAGAGTTTCATATGGCGCAAGTTTCATCGTACCTTAAGGAATCACCTGAGGATACATTCATCAAAAGTGATGAGGAACGTGAGGATAAAACTTCTGTGGTGATTCAGTCCATTACCATGGAATATGAATCTGCCCTTGTTAAAATGGTTGGTTCAAATACTTGGGAAAGCTCTACCAGGACTGTTTGTATAGAGGAGACTGAGGAAATAGAAGAGAATGAATCCAAGTCTGAGAATAAGGAGGACAAAATTGAAATGCAAAACCAAAATAATTTCTCTGCGGGGTTTGATAGTTTGAGCTATGATCAAGGTTATTATTCTGAACATCTGAAAGTTGCTGACAACTGTGCATTACCACCTACAACTGTGTTGCTGAAACCAGAGCAGGTTGTTTCTGGAGTTCCTAATAGTGAAGGTTTTAAGGTTGTTTCTACAGGGTTTGATAGTTTGGTGACCGATGCCAGCTCATTTTCAAAGCCTACTGTGCTTGAAGGGACAGTTGCTGAAGCCACAGAGGACCCATTTGCAAGAATTAAAGCAACGACACCATTAAGAAAGCTGTTTTCGATTGAACACAGCCCTCCAAGTGATAAGTTTCGTGAGCAGGCTACCTGGGCTTTAGGAAAGGTTTCTTGTGATGACCCAGGTTGTAGCGATCAAGGTCTTGGTCATGGTGCAATCCTACCATTGCTAGTTCCGTCAAATGAGCATTCAGAGCTTTTTATGTTGATAAATTCTACAGGGATTTTATCAAACTCATGGCGATGCAGGACACCAACTCCATTTACCCTTTTCAAAGGTGTATTGCCAGTTTATCAGCCATTCGTCCCTATGAAAGAAGAAGATGTCTGGACTCAAGTTTGTTGGACAATACCTAACATCACTGCTGGGAGTAGAAATATTATAAATGCAATTATTGCGGCATCTATCAATATTCCCTTAGTGCACCTCCTTCATAAAGAAGTTTACAGCAAGGAAGAAGCTGCAGGGGCTATATCTTGTTATGAAGAACCTGCAGGCTCTCATATTCAGAATATGTGCTTGATAAGTAACGGCTGCATTAAGATGCTCTCTGATCACTTGTTATGCCAAGATCCAAGAATTGTTACTGCATACCTTGAAGGGCTGGAGAACATTCTGAAAATAGGCAAAGGGGACAAAGAAGTTGGGTTGAATAGTGGGGTCAAGTTATGTGTGCAGATGGTTGACTCTTATGAAGGACTAGACAAGACTGCTAAATTCCAGATTCAAGACAACAATGAGCTCTATGAAAAGGCTGAGAAGACCGTAGAGAAATGCTGGTCCGAAGAAGGGAGGATTAAGGGTCAAGTGCTGAAGATAGGGATACAAAAATCAACAATATATTGGGAAGGAAGAGGCTCCAGGATGAAGAGGAAGTTCAAGATCAAGAAGATCAAGGCTGTGTCCTATCGCCCACCTTGAGGACAAGGTGGTTTTTCAAGGGGGGAGATATGATAGGGCCCTGGGCTGTAGAGAATAATGATAATAATAGTGATAGATTGATATTGAATAAGTTTGGTATTGTATAAATAAGTATTTTGGGCCATGTCATATAATATGGGCTGGCCCGTTAGAATAGAGTACTATAAGAGATAGAAGGAAGGGAGGAAAGTGGTAGGCAGAATTTTAGACTTGGGCTGGGAATTCTGGGAGAGATAGGCTGCTCGAAGTGCCTAAACCTGTATCGTTTCATTCCTGTTCATCAATTACGTTCATAATAAACAACCATTTCCCTCCTTCGATTCTGGTATCTATCATCATATTATCCCAATCCTATTTGTAACTCAAATATTTTCAATATTTGATTTCAAATGTATACTTGTAATTATATTTTTTATTCATCTTATATTTCAAAATATACAACAATTCATATGCACCTTGTATAGGAGTCCTAAACAGCGACTTTTATGAGCGCCTTGAAAAAGATGTTCTGATCCTAGACACCTACTAAAAACTAACCACCCAAATATTGTGTGAAGCCCCATAACAAAATATAGTTCAAATCGTAAAAACCTTAACTTATATGTCATGGGATCGATTATACTATGACAATTTGGAGAATCACTTGTAATCCTCTTTTGCAAAAAAAAAAAAAAGTGTCCTGGCCCAACCTAGCGAAGACATCTAAGAGGAAACAGGGATGGCATAGGTTGCACCTAGGGGGCTTAGGCTGTTTCGCAGAACACTGTTTCAAGGTGGCAAGGTCAAGGGGGTCAGGTAGCTAAAGCCATTATCACATTAGAGAAGCAAACCTCTGAAATTGTTGTCAGTACAGCACAGATTCTCTCATAAGCTGGATAGCATCCCTTCATTGATTTTACATCTGCGAGCATGGAAGCTACCCATTCTTGATCATGGATGGGAGCAGACCATATAGGACCACCCATGTTGAATTTCTTACCACAATCACTGCATTCTTGAGGAACTGTAGGACCAAACCCAGGAAGAAATCTCACACTGTTGTTCTGGCCAATGACAAAAAAGAAGATAATATATAGTTCAAAGTCGTAAACACTAGTGGCTAAATACTTTAAAAAAAATCCTAGGTCAAACAGCTGGTGAAGCCACAAAAAACAACAAAACTGTATGTACGAGAAAGTGTTAAAAAGATTTAATGAATAGATTTACATACCTTGGACACAGTCCTCCCAATCGACTGAAGATGGAAAGAATCACAGCCAATGCACTGATACACATATGACAGCTTTAGTGGAGTGTTCTTCATAGCACTTGCTGAACTGCAAATAGTTGTTTGAAAGCTAAGACCTCAAGTACTACTTGATGTTTGATAGTTTATGCATTATAGGATTTACAGCTACAGCAGGAAAAGTGAAACACCAATAAGAAAGGAAGAAATACTTACGTATAGATGCGAACAAAGACACGCACATAGAAGTCCATCTGAACTGACAATATGGGAACAATATATCTTTTGTGTCGATTTGCATGGCTCTGAAATACAATTAACAAACGATAGTAATGCAAGAAAGTTTAAGAACAATGTTCTGACGTTAATAAATATAACTAACAAAAAATTGGTTTTGTTTTACTACCTCCGCCCCAAAAAAGGCTCCCCATTTGTGGCGGGGCTAAAATGGTTGGCTCTCAGTAATGAAAACTAAAACACAAACATCATACCTCAATGGAAGCAAGGAGTATCCTCAATGCCATTTCATGACAGTATTTTCCTCTCAGTGGATAGGAACCATACCTAAGTGCATAGGTGTATCAAGCAAGTCCATGTTTAGCTACCGAAATATTCAAAAAGAGTTACAGAGAACACTGTTCCATTACAACAAAGTGCTCTATAAAAGCTTACTTGGAATAGCAAACTTCCCCATTTCCTCCACACAGCACTGCCATATCAGTGGCAGTACACATTAATATGCCTCCGTCAACAACAGACTGAACAGCAGCATCCAGGAACACAGAGGGAGACCCATAGGGATCTAGATCAACCTGATATTATTCATTCAGAACACATTTAAAAAAACTGGTTATTAAAAACCAAACTTAGTTGTTTGTCCCATATTTTTGAGCTCTGCACAAATAGATATAATAGTGTAGTAGTAACTACCAATTGGATGCCTTAAAAAACAACTTGATATTGAATAGGTACTCATATTAGCGCTTGTATAGCCATACCGCATCAAATTCTTTTGGATGGGTGAGCATATAAACACGAGCATCATCAAGGTGAGACTCCACCTTTGCACAGGCTACAGAACCATTGAATTTTATGTTTCTCTTACAAGCTTCAACCGAAGCTGCAAAAAGAAGGAAGCCATATCCCTTCATGAAATAAGGTGATGTACTTGGCCCATAGAGCAAATGCATTCTTAATCAACACTAAATGCATGTCCTAAGACCTTATCCAACTATCTCATCAGCAAATTATTTTAGAAAGAAAAACCTCAGTCATTTCATATCCCTGAACACGGAAAAGGTAGAAGATCACTTACCCTTATCATTGTCCAAGGCTATAACTTGACCAATCCCTTCAATTTCACGAGCATATCTTAAAGCCCTCAAACCAGAAGCTGATAATGCCTGTTAAGTGACATGACAAAGGAGCCAAAAAAACTGCATCACATTTTCAACTACATAATAACAATACCATAGCTTACTAACCTAAAGGCTTAACACAAGGTAAACAAAGTTATGACGAACCTCAAGGATCCGTGGTGGCTTCAGTTCTCTACATTTCCCCCCTGGATTTTTTGTTGGCTCTTCTGAAATGCTACATTGTTCGCCCTCAGATTTCTCTTTTGTGGTTTCACACCCGTTATTCGGTGTCCCATTACTCTGATCAAAATGGACTGGAGGATCGAGTTCAGTACCAGAACTGTCTTTATTATTTGAAGCTGCTTTTGTTCTTTTTGACACAAAGGTGTCATGTTCTTGCTTTCGTTTTGCTATAAATGCCCTTAAAACAGAAATCGACATATCTCTGTTGTTTACCTGATGTTTCATATTGCAATCAGTCACGGTTTTTTACTTTATAATATTCATATTAAATGATAAAGTAATACCTCCAGATTATTCTGGATGTATAACGTGATGCTCCCGGATTTTAAACACACTTACTAGATAACATCACTCTTTCGATACTTCGATAGTAAACATTGAAACTATAAAATCCAGATATCTGGAGGTTCCTTGTTTACAACCAGGGACGCACACATTCGAAGCTAAAGCATTATACTACGTATGCCATAATGACTACGCTGTGTGTTAGGGACCTACCTATTAGAATAATATTAGAAGTAATAATAATAATATTAGTAATAAGGGTCTCTAGTATAAATAGATGTAAAGTGGGAGTAATTGGGAGGCTGTTTTAGACTTTGTCATTTGGGACTTGGGGAGATCGAGAGCTAAGCTCTTTCTTTTGGGGGGCTTCGGCTCATTGGGGGCTTCGGCCAGTTCTTGTTACGATTACTGTTCTTGTTCATCTTCTCTAATAAAGTTCACTTTGATTTCTTGATATCTTTCTGTAATCTGGACATCTCTACCATTGGTATCAGAGAGTGTTATTTCCTGGAGACCAAGAATCTGAATCATGGAGGATTTTTTGACACCACAAATGGAAGAAAGTTTTAATAATATAGATCGGAAGTATGATGAGATGTTAGCGATGATGACAGCAATGCAGGCTGGCATCGCTGAACTTCAAAACAGAAAGACAGATCGATCGAGGAAGAATAGGTCTCGTCCGCTACCTGACAAACAAGGTTCGTCGCCATCGCGCACTGTTTCTTCTAGTTCGCAGTCGCGAAGTGTTTCTTCTAATTCCCAATCCAGAATGCTTTCATCGACGGCTATTTGTTCGTGTCCGAGAAAAACGCGATTGAGAAGAGAATCCTCATCTTCGCTATCATTTACCAGTCCGCAGACTGAACCGCTATCTGTTTCTTTTAGCTCACAATCGTGAAGTTCTTCTTACCCTTCGCAGACTTCCTCACATGCGATCAATTCGCGTCCAAGAAAGTCATCAGTCGATTATCACTGTTCGCCTTCTTCGTCTCAAGCCCTTTTTCTGAGTGCGCAAACAACTCCTGGCATTCCTCTGGCTTTGACGCAAGCAAAAGTCCCCAGTTCGCAGGTTTCTTCAATCCCCGGATCTCACAGCTCATCCTCTCTGGTCATCGCATCAGAAAAGGGATCTCCAGGGAATCCACCGACAACAATAAACACAGAAGTGGAACCGATTGTACCTTCAGTAAAGGAAACAGACCCTGAAGAGGAATGCAATGAGAAACCTTCAGTTAATCTTGGACCTGAATTTGGAGCAATTACTCGTTCCCTCAAGTGTGACAAACTCTCCAGTTTGAATAACAGCCGCAAAGATTGGAGTTCTTTTAGAGAAAACAAATTTACTTCATCTGACAGGCAAGGTTGGAACCAAAGAATTAGGACTGAGGTACTGGGTGATGCAGGAGCTGATTTTATCCTCTCGGCCAAAAAGAGTTGCTTGGTTACTATGGTGTTTCATACTAGCAAAGATTGTGCCATTTTAGAGATAACCTGGGTTTTTCCACTCTTTGTTTCAAGAAATCAGGTAAAAATGGATTATCCTTTTGAGGAACAAGCAGTGGCAGAGAGATTTTGGTGGAATATGACTATGGGAGTTGTTGGGTGGAATGATGTTAGGCATAATCAAAGTGCAGCAGAGGATGGCATTGTTTTGATGAAAAGCATTATGAAGGTCAATCAAGATTCAATGGGAGAAAACTCAAATGTAGTTGAAACAATGTGTAGTTCCAGAATTTCTGATGAGCAGATTAAAGTGGATGTTCTGGACATGAACACCAATTCTGCTACTGTTATAGTTGAGGAAAGCATGAAAACAATTGTGGATATGGAAAGTCTGAAGACTAAAGAAGAAAATGAAATTTCACCAGAGATAATATATGCTGCAGAAACATCTATGAGCTGGCAAGTTCAAGTACTGAAGCTACAAGTCCACCGACCAGTCAAGTACTGGGAAGGAAGAGGCGCAAGGAAGAAAAGAAAGCGGAAGATCATAGCGGTCTCCTATCACCCACCTTGAGGGCAAGGTGGATGTTTAGGGGGGGAGTATTGTTAGGGACCTACCTATTAGAATAATATTAGAAGTAATAATAATAATATTAGTAATAAGGGTCTCTAGTATAAATAGATGTAAAGTGGGAGTAATTGGGAGGCTGTTTTAGACTTTGTCATTTGGGACTTGGGGAGATCGAGAGCTAATCTCTTTCTTTTGGGGGGCTTCGGCTCATTGGGGGCTTCGGCCAGTTCTTGTTACGATTACTGTTCTTGTTCATCTTCTCTAATAAAGTTCACTTTGATTTCTTGATATCTTTCTGTAATCTGGACATCTCTATCACTGTGAGGCTAATAAAATTCGAACCACCTAAAATGGCAACGTTGTTATCTATTATCCATTTTAGCTCACCAACTACACACATCATATTTCCCGCAGCTACATTTACTTAAGCACGTGTCAAGAAACTGGCTGCTACTTCATTGACAATTATCACTTGCAACCCTAAAAAGAAGGCAACTATGAGCTGAAAAACAAGGTTAAATATCAAAACTTAGGGCCATATTAGATCGGTTTAATGTAAAGTTAGGCTAGTCAGTCCAACGATGGAATTTGTAGACACTCGTAAGCCTCTTTAACATGAACTCAAACCCATTATTGATTATTGATAAGTCGACAAGTGTAATGGGAAAAACAGATTGAAAAAGAATTCGAAAAAAAACGGTTTATAATGGGATAGAAGACCTGAGCTTTGTTATAAAAGACTGCATTCTTGGCGTGCATAAGAATCTCTGCTTCGCCTTCCTTGATAATCTTGTAATCATTGAGATCAGGCGACGCTTTGGAAGCTTCGACAGGTTGCTTTTCTTCATTCACTGTGTTTCCCTGGGTGCCCATATCGCCAGTCTTTTGTGCGGTGACGTTTTCAAACAGTTGATCGATTGGTGACGGAGGATGGTTGTTTGAAATGAAGCAGGATGAAACGGCTGCGCTTGCAACTGGAAGGAGGTTTTTCTTTGAGGTTTTGGGACTTCGGGTCTAAGGGCTAAAAATAGGGATGGCAATGGGGCTGGTTTGGGCAGGGGTACACTCCCCAACCCCGCCCCATTTTCTAAAAAGTTCCCCTCATCCCCGCCTCATCCCCGTTACTCCCAGACCCACCCCATCCCCGCCCCATCCCGTTGTCCCCCACGGGTGTCCGCGGGTGCCCCCTTATAGATTTAATTTATCGTATTTGCATATACTTTTAATCTCTTATTATAAATATATGTAGTGTGATTCCAATGAGAACGATGTTTAACATAGGAACACTCACATTTAATCCAATTTGATACACAATAGAGTCCTTCTGGTGCACATTTGGACTTTACTCACATTTAATCCAATGTGATACACAATGGAGCCATTCTAGTGCACATTTGGACTTTGCTCAATACAAGCTAATATAAATAATCACGGTGGCACTTTTGTAAGTATTATGTCAGATACGAAAAAGTGCATTGCGTGAGCCCATTGTGTTTCACGTTGGGGGTAAATGTGGTGTTCTCACGTTCTCACGTTAAGCATTGTTCTCATTTGATCATAAACCTATATATATCTACACACACAGTGATATATGACACACACACGTAATACTGAAGTATTGTGTTTGTTAAAAGTTTATACCGTCAATTTTAATAATTCTTCAATTTGAATAAGTTTTGTGAATTGAAGACAGTTAAAATAAAAATATAAGTAAACATATTATCATCATGTACGTCGTTTCAAAATTCTCAAAAATTATAATACAATTAATTACATATTACATATAAATGTGTGTGTGTATTTATTTACTCACTTTCTCACTCTTAAAACTCATATAACATTTATGATAAATATTTTTAATCATTACTAGCTTATTATTATTCTAGTATAATATATATTAATTCATTAACCATGATTAAACCGTATACAATATTACAATTATGTATGTCTATATGTATATGTGTTTGTTATATACTACATATAATTAAATTTAATATGTGTGTACATTATTTATATATGTGTGTTTATATGTTTGAGTATATATTTATAACGGGGATGGGGAGGGGGTGGGGCGGGTGTAGCAATACCCGTCCCCCGCCCCATATTTTAACGGCGTAAAAAGATCTCACCCATCCCCGCCCCCATCCTTCCCCCCACGGGGCGGTTCCCCACGGGTCCCCGCCCCCATTGACATCCTTTGCTAAAAAGTAAGAACATGACAATGGAGCACCACTATCAAGGGTTTATAAATGACTTCCTCCTAACCGAGGACTCCGGTCGGGTGCAAGGTTACTTTGTCTAGTGTTTGGTCTCGGGTTTGAAACACGCTAGGCATTTAGGGGAGAGGAGACGAGATCTTTCTCCCCATTATTCGTCTTTTAGGAGCTAGTACTATATTGACTTCCTCCTTCCCCAGATTAGCACATTTTACTTTTTGTGTTAGTTAATCTCGTTTTGTTAATTCTATAATTTTGAGTATCATGCTATTATTGTATTTTACTTTTGTACTTTGAGTGTCTGTGTACGAAACAGATACTTCACGCATCCGAACTTCGTGCGCGAAATACTCTTTGTGCGCGAATCCACTTTCGCGCATTAGTAGTCCATGCGCGATCCGTATTTCGCTCATCATCATCATATGAAACAAAATAAATAACATGGGACAAAATTGCATTTTAGTAGTGATGGATATAATTACACGTAAATTAGACGGTCATGAGGTAATCGTACATTGGAACTCGGTGGAGGTAGCAGGAAGAGCGAATAACGGGTTACAGACGACTTCACATAATAATCATAAGCGAAAGCCAGCTAGATGACATTTATAACATAAATTTTGTGATAACTTGGTTTTTATTTTCCTAATTAATTTTATAATTAGAGGTGCCAGTCATTAGAGTCTCAACTCTCAACCATTTGTATAAAACTTGGGGAAAATTCTAAACAGCATGCCAGCAATATCCAAGCACTCAATATTTTCTGATTCCACCTGATGTTTTATCATTTCTAGTTTTCTACGTACTGACAATGCATGGACAAAACATTTTATATTGAGTCAATCCTAAAAAGGCCCAACAAGTAGTATACAATAGAGACTAGAATATGTAGTTTTATAGGGTGTTAAAATATTGCATAGAAAATAACATGACTATAAACATCAATCATGTATTCAAGATGCTAGGACATGGTTGTAGTAATGGATGAGGAAATGTTATTTAGGGCATCCTCATTTATGAGTTTATTTGTGGATCATTTTATTGACGTGGAATATCTTTTTAGATATCATGTTTGATTGTTTGATGAAATGAGATTGTGTTTGAAAGATTATTTAAAAAAAATATCGCATCAAATATTAAGTTTTTGATTATTTAAGAATATTCTCAAGATTAAATAAACACGTTTAATGTGTAGTCTTGTCTTTTAATTTAGAATGACAAAAATATCTCCTTAGAAATAGCAAAAAGCTCCATAAAAAAGAGTAAATAAATATCATGGTTGAAGAAGAGTTAAAAGCATTGATATTATTTATTAAAAAAATTATTTAGCAATGACATGATTATAGCAAACAATAAAAAACTGTAAATTTGATGAACATGGAAGTGATGTTATAGTAATACGCCCCATATGGGTAAAGAGAAGTGTGTTGGAATGGTAACTCTATTTAGTGTAATAATATCCTACTATATACAAAATCAAGAAAAAATGGTCCATTTTCCTACCAAGATATACGGTTAAAAAACGGATCACAAATGGGTCACTAACTGAGTAACTGCTGTAAAAAAATTATAGAACTGCAAATTCGCACGTGAACCCAAGTATACTCATCTATCATCGAGAGAAATGTTGTCCAAAAGATTTACCATACGAAAAAGTCAATTAGGTCCTCGTACTTTTAAAAAGATCAATCAAATCTCCGAACTTTGTAAAAACGTTCAATTGAATCCATTTGCATGTTACTTGCCATGTCAGCAGGTCACCCGCTGGCGTGGCGCACACATGGCGGTCCACGTGTGCACCACGTCTGTAGTAAATGGCTGACTGGACTTCCGAATGTGTGTCACGTTAACAAAATTATTGCTAATTGGGCTGCCACATGTGTGTCACATCAGCGGGTGATCTGCTGATGTTTTTATAAAGTCATCTGCAAAGAGACTCAATTGAATGTTTTTACAAAGTTCAGAGATTTGATTGATATTTAAAAAGCACGAGAATCTAATTGACTTTTTAATGAAAGTAAGAAGAGTAAAATAACAGTTTTACCTTTACAATAAGTTTCACTTCTTGAGCCACACAAATAAAATTGAATGAGAGGTGACACGTGGGTATTAGAGCGTCTCAAGTCTCAACAAGACATCAAAAGCTTTTTAATGAGCTTTTGATGTGGGTTCTCCCACCAAGCTAAAATAATTAGACAAAAAAAAATTACATGTGGGTATTAGGGTGCTGTTCTGTTCGTCTTATTCTTATTACTTATTGCTTATTCTTATTTTATTCAGATCAGATCAGATCAGATCAGAAAGATTCAGATCAGATCAGATCAGATCAGAAAGATTCAGATCAGATCAGATCAGATCAGAAAGATTCAGATCAGATCAGATCAGATCAGAAAGATTCAGATCAGATCAGAAAGATTCAGATCAGATCAGACCAGATCAGAAACATTCAGATCAGATCAGAAACATTCAGATCAGATCAGATCAGATCAGAAAAGTTCAAACATGATTTATCATTTTTATTATTATATTAATTATTATTATTAATATTGTTATTACTATTATGATTATTATTATTATATGATTATTATTAATATATTAATAATAATATGATAAAGAAATAAGATATTAATAATAGTTATAATATTTTAATATCATAATAGTAATATAAATGCAACTATTATTATTATTATTATTATTATTATTATTATTATTATTATTATTATTATTATTATTATTATTATTATTATTATTATTATTATTATTATTATTATTATTATTATTATTATTATTATTACAATATAATAATAATATGATTAATATTATTATAATATTATATTATAATTATATGTAATTATAATTATAATTACAATTATAATTCTTATAATTATAAGTATAATCAATTGTAATTATTATAATTATATCTATAATTAATTATAATAATTATAATTATAATTAAAATCATAATTATAATTATGATTATGATTATATTTATAATATAATATTATAATAATATAATACTAATAATAATAATAATAATCGTATTATTATTAATATATTGTAATAATAATATTAATATAATAATATCGTTATGATAATATTAATTGTATTTATAGTACTATTATGATATTATAATATTATAATTAATGTTAATATAATTATAATTATTATTAATTATAATTATAATAATTATAATTATTATTAATTATAATTATAATAATTATAATTATATTATTATATTATAATATTATAATTAATTTTAATACAATTATAATTATTATTAATTATAATTATAATAATTATAATTATACTTATAATTATATTATAATTATAATTTATGATTATAATTATTATTTTCATTATAATAATTATTATTATTATTGTTACTATTGTAATTATTTTACGGAGTAATTATAATAATATTGATAACTATAGTTACAATTATAGAGATATATATTGTAATTATAATTACAATTATAATTATATAAGTAATTAAAATTAAAAATATAATTACAGTTATAATTATATCTATATTTATAATTAGTGTAATAGGTATAAATTTTTTCATTTTAAATTTAATTTTAATTTTAATTATTATTATTATTATTATTATTATTATTATTATTATAGTTACGATTATAATTATAATTTTATTTAAATTATATTTGTAATTGCAATTATAATAATTATAATTATAATTATAATCATAATTATAATCATAGAAACATTCAAATCAGATCAGATCAGAAAGATTCAGATCAGATCAGAAGGATTCAGATCAGATCAGAAACATTCAGATCAGATCAGACCAGATCAGAAACATTCAGATCAGATCAGAAAGATTCAGATCAGATCAGATCAGATCAGAAAGATTCAGATCAGATCAGATCAGATCAGAAAGATTCAGATCAGATCAGATCAGATCAGAAAAATTCAGATCAGATCAGATCAGAACTTAAAAAATTCAGATCAGAAACATTCAGATCAGGCGAAGAGAACAGCTTCTAGAGCGTCTCAACCTGAAATGGGCTCTCCCACCAAGCTAAAATAATTTTGGGGCATCCATTACACCTCAATGGTTTGTACGTAGTATATAGCTATCAAACATGCCTCAAAGAACCACTTACACAAAATTTAGCGGAGATTTTTATCAGATTAAAATACAACATATCAGTGACGAACTGCTCAGAATAGAGTTGCTACGCAATAATGAATGAAATTATTATTGGTGACGAACATGCACTCAAAATTTACTGTCATTGGTCAATAATGAATGAAATTATTCAAATGCTATAAAGACATACTCCGGATAAAGGTATGACCTTTTCATCAACCCATTTATAAATTAAGATGTCTACGAAAAAGTAATTAGACATTCGTTCTCCCTACATATTTCTCATTTTCAATATCTACTTGTTTGGGCAAATAAATTTGTAATTGGCATTTATATATATTGTGGGTTTACGTAGTAGGTAAGTAACAAATAAGAGTATAAAAAATACAACATACAAGAGCAGGGGCGGACCCAGAAAATTCATGTTGGGGGGTTCAAAATATTTTTTGGGGGGCGAAAATTATTTTTTGAGGGGTGAAAATTATATTTCTTATATATATACACTAAAAATAAATTTTGTTGGAGGGACGGTAACCCCCCTGGGTCTGTACTACGGTCCGCCCCTGTACAAGAGTACATATGGTAATAACTAGTGCGTATTATTTATTGTTGTGATTGAGCCTACATACATGATTTTGTTATTATAAAGAACAGATTCCTCAAAGTAAATATATGTATTTTAGCACACAATATCCTAGAGTAACCCATTATTCATATGAGCAAAAAGTTCAATTTTTTGAATGTGAAAACATCATCCAAATCATCATCATCATCACTCTGGTGCCGCAAAGCCTCCCACATATGGTGGGCCGGTGGGGTAAGGTAGGGTTGAGTATATGTAGTCTTACTCTTGTACTAAAGTACAAAGATACTGTTTCCGAATGACTCACAGTGAAAATCGCGTCGAGAATTACACGAACTGACAGGTGCATAATAACAAAGAAACATTGACAGTTTAATGATCCATTTTGCTTTACTCCATCATATTTCCAAGCCAAAAATATAGTGAGTCTTTAGCTTCATTACAAAGATGGAAAATGAAAACATCATCCAAATATATGAACAAATTTGAAACAATAAACATATGTTACATCGAGTTTAGCAAAAATGCTACTTGCTGTTAGGAATTTAACTCACGCAACACGAAGAACGATAAGAAAGACACGCGAAATTTGGTAACCCAGTTCGCCACGAATGACTATGGTTGGGGGTGCTACCAAGTCAAGATGTCACTATTATTTTTTTATAATGATTACAAAGAGAGAACTTGAATTTATAGAGAGTAATAACCCTAACCCCATACAGAAACTCGAGACCCATATTTACTAAAGACCCAAAAAAAATCGACAGAATGAGCTTGATTATACAGTCTCTAAGACTCTAACACCTTACACTCGCAAGCTAATCAATATGGGAAAACCTCAAAATTTCAAAAAAAAAAAAACAAAAAACAAAAAAAACAATGAAAAGTTGAATAAGTTTTTGAAGAATTTTGTTGGAGATTTTATAGCAGTGGGGCAAGGGTGAGGTGGCATTTAGGTAGGATATTTTTATGATTCGAGTTTCGTCCCTTGCGCTCAATAATTCTAGAGTTTATGAACTATCATCCAAAACTCCTAGACAATTAAAATCCAAATATGATCACATTCAACATTCATTGAGATTGCTCTTCCCACCACACAAATCTACTACTATTTCTATTTCCATTGCCATACCATCATTTTCCTTGTCAATCCTTGGGCTACGTTGTAAAGGTAGGAAACTCATAGAAAGCAAAGTGAGCCAACCAAGACCTCCCACAAGGGGATGACTTGGGAGTGTATGGCCAACCAAGTGAGCCACAACGCCTTGCCCAATTAGGTAGGAATTATAGGAATTAGAAACAGATGAAATGCATAATAAGAATATTTTTACTTACATTGGTTTCAACCAAGATCAAACAAGACTAGAATAGACCAGAGACCAAACCATAATCAAACAACCAAATCAGACCAAACAGATTTGAAAGTTATAAATACACATAGACCAAATCGATTCAGACCAGATCAGAACAGGGATTTAAATCCCATTAAGACATTCTAACTAAACAAAAATAAGTCACTTTTTTGGGAAGATAAAAACTAGTCATGTTTTTGTTTTCCTAAAGTGTAGACATAATTTTTTGCCATTTTTCTAATATAAAACTGATATTTAATTGTCTAATATGGACGCGTACACAAGCAGAAGCAACAAATGTTACAATACCAATTTACTAAAATTTTAATTGTCTAAGGTAATGTATATGGAATAAAACTTTTAAATCTCGGTGCCGTGCTTGGTGCTCACGCTTTTTGTGTACACCTTTAACACACTTGTGCCTACGCATACAGAGTTTTTTCTGTATAAGACAACTCTGTAGGGCCCTATTTCCATTTACTATGCCCAAGTGAGTCAATTTCAATAAAAACGCATGTCACACGAAGCTTTTATGGGGGTGACATACAGATACTAAAGTGAAGTCAACCACAAACAGTTTTTGTGCTTTTTCTGTAGCACGCACAGAACTTTGTATATCATAATTCACATGGGGTTGGGTGCATCTTACCATGCACCGCTCAATATACGGAGGAGTATATGTTTATGGAGCAAATACCAACTTATGTTCTTCTCTGTATGAAGACATGTGTTGTGTGTTCAGCTAATAACGAAGACTTTACATATAATTACATCATCCTTTCGGGATAGTTATCTTTGTTCTTGTTGGTTTCCCTCATGTCTGAAATCTGTTAAGCAGGGTTAGTTGCCTCATCAAACGCCATCTCCTGGAAGCAAGCATAATCAAATCAAAGAAATATTAGCCGACAGTCAGCCTCACATTTTGCATACTATTAGTATGTAAACTTAGGAGAGGGCATCAAATAATGCATTAGGATTTCGTTTGACATAGATTACGTAAACATATATGCACTCCCCCCCCCCCCCCCAACCCACAAAAAGAAGTCTTGTAAATTATTTTTCACATTAGAGACAAGACACTTTTCCATCATTTGCAATGGAGCCAAAGATTCATTATTTTTTGGCTTGAGAATATGATGGAATAAAGCAAAATGGCTCACTAAACTGTCTGCGCTTCTTTGTTATGAAGCAGCAGTCAGTCCATGCAATTTTGGACGTGAATTTCACTATGGGTCATCCGGAAACAGTCTCTCTGTGCTTTAGTACAGAGGTAAGACTGCGTACATCCGACCCCCCTACCCCACCGTAGGTAAATCTTAAATGATTAGAGACAAGACACTTTGGCCAGGAGGTTTAGTAATATATATTCCATTCACACATTTAGTATTTATACTCAAAGAAATCTACTAACTCAACATAAGTAACCTGCATCACAAAGTAACAGGGCCAGTCCTGTATTTCTTTATGCCTATGGACGGAACTTTACAAACTACAAAGAGCTTATTCCAACTAAAAATATAGTGTTTTATCAAAGCATATTATATTTAACATTGTCGCCATGCCTATTTGCCTATTTGCGCGCCTTTTCTCCTTTCTTATTAAAGCATGACCTAATTAATACTCAATATACATAAAAGTTGTGCCTCCAAAAAATAGGGGGCCTGGGGCCTCTGCTCCTCTTGCACCCCACTCAGAATCGCCCCTGGATGACAAATTAAATATCCAAACAAATTGACAAGAATGACAAGTTATATCCCCGAGCAAATTGATAAAGACACTCAGGAAAAATAATATAAAAACAGCAGATCTTTATTCAGGAAAAAGGCAGTCATTCGGGAAAACGGGAGAATGTTGAAGGGAGGGTGTTTGAAACTATATAGGAAAGAAAAGAAAAGAAAAGAAAAGAAAAGAAAAGAAAAGAATAATTCATTAATGGAAACCGACTAAAAGGTACCACAAGCCACATCTTAATCCATTTCCCTGCTAGCTTGTGCCTCCTAATTTCCACAGGAGGCATACACAGAAAATCAGATATTCGAATGAAGGGGGGAGGCAGTGGCAGTCATAAATTTGATATTGGGGAGTGCAAAAGCTTAAATTTTTTAAGCTGAGGGATATAAGATTCATAATTTAACACATTTGGATTGTAGATTATAAGTATCCGCGCACAACACACACACACACATATAAACAATAAAAAACTGAGGGAGGTGAAGGCCCCTCAGCCCTCCTAGTACAATTGTGAAGGTATGTTGGAGCTAATGCCCATTGGTGGGTGCAAGTCATGGGATTGCTGTGACATGTCAATTTATCCACCACTCTCTTTCCTTTTGTGCATAATTAGATCTTTACATATTTCATAGTTTTTATTGCTCCACTTAAATATTTGCAAATTTGGCAGCACCGGATAAGGGGTAGACAAGGTTGTGGTTTCGGACCGGAAGCGGAAGTGGAAAAGGACTGGTCAGTATTTGCTGGAAACCTGAACCGCCAACCTATTCCAATATTGGAACTGAGACCAGTAGCCAGTTTAACTGTTTAAAACCATCCGGTTCCTGTTCTGGTTCCTCTAGAACAGGACCAAAATAGTCGATTCCAGGTTGGCCCCTGATTTCTGCTATAAATTCCTGTCCGGAACCAGTCAACAACCAGAGTGGAACCAAAAACCGACCCAAAACCATCAAGGAGGGTGGTTCCCATTACTACCCAGGGAGGACTGGAAACCGTTTGGTCCAGAACCGGACCGGAACCACCCCTACATAGAATCTGTCCTTTTATGTTGAAATTTGACCATCGATATATGCATAATTGCATATTATACGTGGAGTCTGAAAAATCGTGTCTTTCTGTTATAAGCATGGTAGGAATATGAAAACTCATCAATCTTAAAAAAGCTACAGAAGTACAGAAGAAAAGTCTTGTCATATGCAAAAAACCTAGGAGTTTGACCCTTTCAATGTATTTAAGACATAGAGCTTGAAATTATATGATACTTTTAATGGAATTAAAAACCTATTTATACAACCTACAAAGTGATGGAGAAATAAAAGAGCAGGAGAATGGTGGAGATAGGAGTGGGGCACAAGAAAAATTCTTGGGCAAGAAGTTTTGACATATTTGGGATTTTTAATTGCTCTAATGTTAGTTTCCCTATTAGTTTTAGAATAAGTTAGTATTCCGTTCTTATTAGGAAACAAGTCAAACAAGTGTTATATATTGATAGAGACCTCCAGAAATCCAGAACAATTACAGAAAGATTAAGAAGAAACAGATGAATACTTTTATTGAATCAAGAAGGACAGTACAGTAACCAGGCCGAAGCCCCCAAAGATAAGAGAAACCGACTTTCTCAGATCTTCCCAGTTCCCAGACTATACGTCCAAAAAGCCTCCTTCCCCTCCCAGCCTTTCTTCTATTTATAACAGTCCCGCTCCTGCCTTTATTTACTATCTATTCCAGAATTTTAACTAATAGCTACTAGTCTATTTATTAGTCAATAGGTGGGTCCCTATCAATACTTCCCCCCAAAACATCCACCTTGTCCTCAAGGTGGGTGATAAGAGAGAGCCCAAATTTTCTGCTTCTTCTTCCTCTTCCTTGTTCCTCTCCCTTCCCAATATCTAACTGGTTGATGGACTAGGGACTGCAGTACAAGATCTTTTAAAATCATATGACTTTCAGCAACAGAAAGTGAATCTCCAATTGGTTCAGTCACCTCTCCCCACTCCATACCAAATATTATTTCTTCACCTTTCTGCAGCCCCTCATGCTTTCCATGTTCTGAAACTAATACTGTACTAAATGCAAACTCCTTTATGCATCTTTCAACCTCTCCCCCTTTATCTTTGCCTACCTTGTTTGAGAAAGAAAGCCTCCAAGGTTTTGGCAGGTAAGTAAGGATACCCCTTATTCCAGTTGCAGTTCTCCTAACCAAGGAACATGAAAGATTATTTCCCATGTAAGACTTCCAAAATGGGCGTCCTAGCAGGTAAGCAGATTCTTCACCCGAAGAAAACATTGCCATTTTCAAGCTTTGTTTCACCTCCACCTTTTTATTAGCTTCAATATTTTGTTCCACATAACTTCCTGCCGTTTTCTCAATGATAAAACCTGTAATTCTGAGCTCTCCTATCATAAAGTCCACCCCTAAGTAGGCAGGTGAGTCACAATTAATTGGACCCTTTCCATCCAGATGCACAATAGCAGAAGAAATAACTGGAGAATAATCTTGATGATCCTTCGAATTATAAAGAGCAGACAGTCCCTCTTTAACCTGGGTTTTGAAATTTGCTTTAAACATACTAGAAGAGTGCATCCCAATAGTCAGTTCTTGATTGTACACGGCTGTTCCAGCCTCTTTATCATCCATAACCAGTCTTCCTCCCCTCATAACATTCATCCAAGTTGGTGAACTTCCATGTGAAATCAATGCCCCAATTTGAACATTAGCATATGATTCCCCAGAAAGATGATAAACACGATCCTCAAGAACAACTGGATCATATGTCTTTTGTTCCAAGGAATTTAAATCCACATTGTTTGCAAAATTAGGAGAAACATAATCTGGCCATTGGATAACCTGTTTTTTCCAACTATTACTTAGTACACAAAGGTGCATAATTTCCTTTAGAACACCCAATCCCAGATTTGGAAATCTACCAATTCCAAAATTAAAATATTCTGGATTTGGTTTCAGAACAATTGCATACCTCTGACCCTCATAGGTAAAGATAGATGGGTGATAGATGCTTTCCTCCTCAGCCTTTTTGGTAATGATGTTCAGTTCCATGATAGGATCAGTGTGATTGGTATGAGTTTCCTCCTGGTTGTAAGGTCTATTGGGTTTTGACAGCTCGGACTCTTCCAGATTAACTGGTGAGTTACCTGTAGACTGATTAGTATCCTCGTTTGAATCTAATTCTGGTATTGAAGTTTCTGTAGGCTTCCACTCAAGATTTGGTGTTGTCAATGAAATTCCCTTCGTAGAAGCTTGAGCCGTCTTGGAAACCTTGGACAAAAGTGGCGATGACATCTGTGAACCAGTAAGCAATTCTTGCGTAGGTTGAGAATTTATGGGAGAAGATGAGGATTCTCCCCTCAATCGCGTTTTTCTTGGACACGAACAATTAGCCGTCGATGAAATCTTTCTCGATTGGGAATTAGAAGAAACATTTCGTGACTGAGAACTAGGAGAAACAGTGCGCGACTTTGTTTGCAAGCTTGTGAGCGATGGCGACGAACCTTGTTTGTCAATAGACCTAGTTTTCCTCGATCGTTCTTCGGTTCTTCTGCGACGCCTCTGCTCTTCCGACTCCTCTGAGTCAGTCGAAAGTCGCGTATGTCGATGATGAGATTTGCGATGCATATGAGAGTAGTCAAAATTCTCTTCCGATTCCTCTGGATTGGATGACCTCCGCGACTGATGATGTGAAGTATGACGAGAAGAGCCATACGACGAGCGATGCGAAGATCGGTGTGAATGGTGCGATGTATGTCGCGAACGACTTTGAAGTCGGTTCTGCAAATCTGCGACGCTAGTTTGCATCGCCTCTTGCATAGCGGCCATCATCGTCTTCATCTTTTCTTGCGATGCGACCATACTCGCTTGTGTCTCCCTCATAATTCGATCAATATTATCAAAACTCTTTTCCATTTGCGGTGTCATGTAGAAATCCTCCTCCATGATTCAGATTCTTTGTCTCCAGGAAGTAACAACTCTGATACCAATGATAGAGACCTCCAGAAATCCAGAACAATTACAGAAAGATTAAGAAGAAACAGATGAATACTTTTATTGAATCAAGAAGAACAGTACAGTAACCAGGCCGAAGCCCCCAAAGATAAGAGAAACCGACTTTCTCAGATC